GTGTGGTAGGGGAAGAGACGGTAGTAAGGCACCGACTCGTCAAAGGTGACGTCCTGGGAGGACAGAACACGACGCGAGGTGGGGTGGTAAAACTGCCAACCAGGCGCGTTAGAGGGGAAGCGAAGGAAGACACAGGGAATAGTACGGGGGGACAGCTTGTCCGCAGACAAGTCGTGGACAAACGCCCGAGATCCCTTGACCCGAAACGCAGATGCATCGCCAACTTTCCCCGTCCACCGCAAGGTGGGGGAGATCTCTGGCAAGGAGACCCGGGGCTGAAGGTTGAGCTGATGCGCTGTGTACTGAACCGCAAACGGCCACAGAAAATGGGGAGCAGCCGCATGGATCATGGACGTACGAGCGACGTCCATGACCATGCCAATGCAGCGCTCAGCAATCCCATTTTGCTGTGGAGAGGTCGAAAGCGTGAAGGTCTGGCGGATGCCCTGTGCACGACAGAAGGCTCCCAGACGGGCAGAGGAAAACTCCCCGCCTCTGTCAGAGTGCAGACGCAGAACAGGAAAGTCCGAGCCAAAACTCTCTCTGAGCTGGAGACGAGCTGCGCGGATCCAGTCGATCAACACCTCAGCGACGTCACCCTTGCTGCGCAAGGGGAACACCGTGGAGTAACGCGAGTAATCGTCAACCACCAACAGGAAGTAACCCTTGTGACCCTGGCCATGGACGCGGGCGGGGCCCCACACGTCCATGTGAAGAGTCTGCAGCGGAGCCTCTGTCAGAGGAAACTGGGAGGAGTGAGGGGTGGCGCGCTGTCGCCCCTCGACGCAGGGGACGCAGGTAGGGGCAGGCCCCGGAGGTAGGGGAGGTAGGGACCGGAGGAGACCAGAGACAAGGACACGGGAGGCCATGCCTCGGAGACGAGGCAGGGAGGGGTGACCAAGGCGGTGGTGCCAGAGGAGAGTCTGGTGGGACAGGAGACGACACGAGCAGGGCGCAGACTCAGGACCAGACCTGGACGCTGCAGCAAACACCTGTCTCGACGCAGCTACCTGACCAGACTCAGCAACCGGAGGAGACTCAGTAATCAGTGTGTACACGCTCGACCCCGGCCGACGGGTAAACGTGGCCAAGTGTCGGCCCGTCCGAGCACACGTGCAGTGGGTCACCCGCTGACTCGCAGGAGTGAACTGGTCAACCCCCCTATCCTGTAGATCAGCTCCACTCACCAAGTTCGTAGAGAACGACGGGAGGTAGAGACCTGACAGGGTGCCAGAGGGGGCTGCCGGGCACGGTAAGACAGTGCAGAAGCTAGCAAGGACAGGACCCCCAGAGGGGTCCGCCAGGGAGACTGCAACCGGCCGACTAAGCGGCGTAAGCGTGGTGCGGTCTCGAAAGAAGGAGCGGGAAGCACTCGAGTCAAGGGTGAAGGTGTGTAAGGCCTGAGCCGACGTAGTACCTTAGAGAGCAGACTCACCAGCACCTGGGGCAGCAGACGCACTAGCACCTAGAGCAGCAGCCTCACCAGCACCTAGAGCAGCAGCCTCAATGCCTGGGTCAAGCGAAACACACAGGTAACAGCCACCCTCATCACTAGTAGACACAGCATACATGGCGGCAAGAATAGCATCATAATCAAGATCAAAGATAGCAGCCCCCGCCCTAGACAGCTCTCCCCAACGAGGGATCTCAGTGGCGTCACGGAACCGGTGACGCCACGCGTCCGTCAGGCGGCCGAAGCAGCGCTGGGTGGAGTGCGGGCCCCCGTACTGCTCACCAGCGTGGTCGCCGGAACGGAGGACGTAGGTGCAGGGACCAGTACCCCCACCGCGCTGACGCCCAGCGTACCACTCACGAAGCTACTGAGGGGACAGGGTCTCACGACTGCGCTGCTGCTGCTGGCGCGGACCACCACCGAACCCACTCCTCTGCGCAGAGCCGCGACTAGCTCCACCGCTGCCGCCGCCGCCTCCGCCACCTCCGCCGCCTCCGCCACCTCCGCCGCCTCCGCCACCTCCGCCGCCTCCGCCACCTCCGCCGCCTCCGCTCCGTCCGCCACCGCCGCCGCCTCCTCCGCCTCCACTACTGCCACTGACACCTCCACCCCCGCCACCACTCCCACCACCACCCCCACCCCCTCCACTGCCTCCACCACCACCTCCACCACCCCCGCCAGCCCCTCCAGCGCCCTTGCCCCCCTTGCCCTTGTCGGTGCGGCGTCTCCCGCTAGGGGCAGACGCAGCGCCAACCGACTCGAAACCAACGAGGTCGGCCGCAGCAGCAGAAGCAACAGAGGGCAAGAGGGGGGAGGGGGAACACCCCTAAAAGACGGGGTGCGAGGGTCACCACGAGAGGCTCCTACAGCGACTATGCTCTTCTCTGCTGCTAGGAGGCGCTCCTCGAGGAGGTCAACGGTGAGTGTGGTGGGGCAAACTGAGAGAAAGTGGTCCCTGACTAAGCGAAGGGAGTCAGGGAGGCGGGTGACTATGTAGTAGAGGGTGATGTACATGGGGGGGGGGGTTCTTGGCACAGAACTCAGCAGGAAGCGCAGCGCGGTAGCGAGTGTCACTAGTGCGAAGGTGCGTAATGAGGTCAGCGACTGTGGGAAAGGCAGCAAGGTCAGGGAACAGGTACGGCAGCATGAGGCGGCTAAGAGCAGCAGTGGCAGGGGAGGAGTAGCGTGCAACTACGGCGTCGTACAAGGTCTTAGCACTCTTGTACTGGCTAAAGTGCGCACGCTCAGTGGTCGGTAAGTGGCGACGCACAGCAAGACAGGCAACAGCATCGCGTGTGGCCCACTGTGAGCGAACAGTGCTGTCAGCAGTACCAGGCGGGGCAGGAGAGGCACCAGAGGTGAGATTGAACAGGGAGAGTCCGTCTGCCCTATCGCACTGTAGGAACAGCTGGAGGTCATCGACCCAGACCTCAAAGTCAACAGCACGACCCTCAGCATCAAAGGTAAGGACACTGGGGGTAGCCATGACTGCAGTGGCCTAGTAGGGAGTGATCTCACCAGTCCGAGTAAGTAGGGCCGGGGCGCGCCGGCAGGAATAGTAGCGGCTCGACGGCAGGGCGGCTCGGCGGCTCGGCTGCTGGGCGGCTCGGCGGCTCGGTTGCTGGGCGGCTTGGCGGCTCGGCTTCTGGGTGGTTCGGCTGCTGGGCTGCTCAGCGGTGAAGGGGCCGGTAGAGGCGGCGACGGGGCCGGTAGAGGCGGTGACGGGGCCGGTAGAGGCGGCGATGGGGTCGTTAGGGGCGGCGACGGGGCCGCTAAGGGCGGCGAGGTGGCCGCGAAGGGCGGTGACGGGGCCTCTAGGGGCGGCGACGGGGCCGCTAGGGGCGGCGACGGGGCCACAGAGGGGCCGCAAGGGGCCTAGAGGGGCGGCGACGAGGCCGCGAAGGGGCCGTAAGGTGCATAGAGGGGGCGGCGACGGGGCTGCAAGTGGCGGCGACGGGGCCACGAAGGGGCCGCGAGGGGCCTAGAGGGGCGGCGACGGGGCCGCTAGGGGCGGCGACTGGGCCGTGAAGGGGCCGCGAGGGGCCTATAGGGGCGGCGACGGGGCCTAGAGCGGCGGCGACGGGGCCGTGAAGGGGCCGCAAGGGGCCTAGAGCGGCGGCGACGGGGCCTAGAGCGGCGGCGACGGGGCTGTGAAGGGGCCGCGAGGGGCGTAGAGGGGCGGCGACGGGGTCGCTAAGGACAGCGACGGGGCTGCTAAGGGTGGCGCGAGGGGCCTCTAAGAGGGCGCGACGTGAGGGCGGCCTACGGGGCACGCCTCGGGCAGGAAAAAAAAGATCGAGTTAGGTGGTGGGCCCTGAGAAGCGTTCCCACGAGGGAACCTGTTCTATACCATGTGAAAAATTAGGAATGAATGAACTAGCAAGCAGGTGGGTACAAGTAGGAAAACCTAGAAATGTTGTACCCCATATAGCCTACCCCACTACAGCTTACACAGACTATTGCATATAAGTTTGACACGCAACCCTCGAGGAGCCCGAAGGATCGATTTCTTACTCCGCTGGAAGGACCGTACACCCACCGAAGACAATTGGGTTCCCCTGGACAGAATCGAAAACCACCCCGTCCTCACCGAGTATCTGCGCAGCCGAAATTTCAGGGATGTACACGCATTTTCGTAAGGACCTCCTTAAGGGGGGGGGGGGTAGTGTAAGGAAAATTCATTTTCCTTACTTCACATCCCTGCTAAATGCGTACATCACTGTAGCACCACAGTCAGCACCGTTACCACTCGCAACCCTCTCATCGACAATCCGCCCGCCACTTTCGCACATCACACCCCGACCTTACGGCTCGGCGGCTAACTCCCGCTCCGGGCCTCCGCTTCGACACTTTTTCCAACCTCAGTCCCAGGCCCGTCGCGCAACAACCACAGTCCATTACCGTTACCACTGTAGTTTCGCTATATATTCTTCGCTCATGCATTCGCTAAACCCTAAACCCTAAACCCGAAACCCTAAACTCTATGGCTGGATGTGTTATGCCTAATATTCCTAAGCTTATCCCTCTTCACTGTAGGCACACTTCTCATGCGTACTAAACAGACTCGCGGTACCCTATGAAACGCTAACCATCTCATCCAGCATCACCTTCAGGAAGCCCAAGGTGGCACGAGGAACCAGCAATGAACAGCTTCACTTTCGATCCATTGAGAACTCCATTGGTCCATCTCGCGCACTCCCTCACACATCTACCTGACAAACACAAACAACTTCCTGACACTATTGCGTGACGCAATAGTGAACAGGCACCGTTGGTACTCCTGGTTCATTGCATTCATGAACAGGCTAGTCGTTTGTAACAGGCGTCAGCAACCTCAATTCAGCATCCGAGGTTGGCTGGTGATGGCGGCAACAGGTGCTTTTTGAGCCTGAAACGTCACCGCTGAACAACGTTCCACAGTAATCTGAGCTGATGCCTTGTGTCAGCGTCAGCCGACAGAACGGATTCTGAACATGCATTTTCCGTAGTCTTACTTCAGTTGCTGAATCCCTAACTTATCCTGATTGAACTGCAATTATCCGCGAAAATGTGGGGTTTCGCGCTCGAGCCGACGAAGCGTATCGGAGGCGTGTCGCCTCCTCGCCGTCCGATCAGGCATCGACCCGGGGCGTCCAGGAAAGCCAGCGGAATTTTGGGCTGGATTCCCGGTGGAGCTGGTAACAGCTGGCGAACGATCTGCTCGCCGGTAATCGCTCTCGTGGTGATCTGGCTGCTGGGAATGATCATCTGGAACAGCGGGATCATCAGGTACGAACCCGAGACTATCTTTTGGTGCCTCAAACGCGCGAATTGCTTGTGAACAAAAGGATCTCCCTCGTGGTGATCTGACTGCTGGAAATGATAATCTGGAACAGCGGGATCATCAGGTTCGATCTCGTGACGAGATTCAGACCTGTATGAAAATTCGCCTTCTAGCACTTGAAATTCGAGTAAAGGCTGGGAATTCTCCCGCATTGGTTTCTCATGCCGTTCTCTGTTCCCCGCTTCACGTTTTCTTCCCCTTTCTTTCGGCTGAACGGATGTCCTTTTCTCGGTCCTACACTGCAGCCTTAAGATGCAAACTACAGCTCCATCCGACTCACCTACTGGTCTGGACGCATCATCTGAGTACCGCGGCGATGATGCTGCTTCCTTGGGTGATGGTTCCACCGACGACAGCCCGGATCTCATATTTTCTTCCCTCTCCTTCGATTGGATGCCTTGTTCCCTGTCCTGCACTGCAGCCTTAAGAAGCAAACCACAGCTCCATCCGACTCACCTACTGGTCTGGACGCATCGTCTGAATACGGCGACGATGCTGCTTCTATGGGGGATGGTTCCACTGATGACAGCTCAGATCTCACTCCCTCCTTTACCAATAAGATGTCGTCTGGTGGAGGATACGGGGGAGGCTTGGGAACAGGCTCGAGAGCAGGATCGGGAGCAGGATTCGGAGCAGGCACGGGAGCAGGTTCGGGAGCAGGATTTGGGGCAGCGGATGAGGGTATGGATTCCGAGGATGGGGACGGGGAGACAGGCCTGGCGTCGGGATTCCCAAGGTCCACTAGCACCACTGGCGCTGGTCGGTTGGGGGGTCTGAATTCAGGAGATTCATCCAGAACTTCCGCCTGGAATGCCCCTGGTGGTGGCAACAGGGGCGGGTTGGGGGCAAGTGGAGGGGATGATGAGGATGACATGATGGGAAGTGGTGGGAGTGGTGGGTCGAGGGATGGATTTGGCTCCAGCAGCAGCAGCAGAGACGGTATGTGGGGTGGTAGCGGCAGTGGTGGTGCTGGTAGATTCGGGGGAGGTGGTGCTGGGGCAGGCGGAAGCAGGTGGGGAGGGGGAGGCGCGTCCACATGGGGTGGAAGAGGGGGGTCGGCGGGTATGTCCGCAGAGGATGAGGATGAGGATGGGAAGGGGAGCGCTGGTGGTGGTGGGCTCGGGGTTTCCAGCAGTCGTGTGCCTAAAACGGGGTCAAGATCGTGGGGAATGGATGATGAGGGGGATATGGAGACTGCTGTCAGTGGGAATAGGGGTGGATTGGGATCCAGAAGTGGTGCTGGTGGGTTTGGTAGAGGGGGGAGGAGTGGGGGGAGGGTGAGAGGAGGTGAGGAGGAAGAGGAAGGGGAGGAGGAAGAAGAGGAGGAAGCGGGAGGGGAGGAGGAGGAAGAGGAAGAAGAGGAAGAGAGCGAGGAGGGAGAGGAGGGGGATGAGGATGAGGAGGAGGAAAGTGAGCGGGTACGGGGCAGGGGGGGGTCCAAACGGAAGAAGGGAGGACGGCGGGGGAAAGGTGCTGCAGCGGATGAAGATGAGGAAGAGGAGGAGGAGGAGGAGGATGGAGGAGAGGGAGGAGACGAGGAAGAGGAGGAAGATGAGGAGGAGGAGGTATCTAGTAGTAAGAAGGGGAGGAAGGGCCGTGGTGCTGCTAGGAAAAAAACTGGGACAGGAGGGAGGAAGAGAAAAGGAAGCTATGATGACGAGGAGGAAGAGGAAGAGGAGGAGGAGGAGGCGGAAGAAGCAGAAGAGGAGGAGGAGGACGGAGGTAGAAGCAGGAGGAAGAAGCGAGGTGGCGCATCCAAGAAGGGGCAGAAGGGGCGGAAGGGGAAGAAGGGGAAGAAGAGGAGGAAAGGGAAGAAGATGGGAAAGCGGGATGCAGAGGAGGAGGATCTTGATTCGGTGGACATAGAAGGGAAGAAAGCGGTCAACGAGGCTGAGAGAGCGGAGGAGGAGGCAGAACGGGCAGTGGCAGAAGCAGATGGGGAGACAGGCACTGGGAGGTGGGGCTCTGGAGGAGGAGCGGGTGGGGAGGATGAGAGTGAGGGGGAGGGCGGTAAAACGGCTGTGGAAAGCGCGGTTCAGAGCATGCCGGAGAGCGATGTGGCGCGGATATACTACTCTGTGAAGACTGCCCAACGAGGTGCGTCAGGTGGTTAAGCCAGTCTAACAGTGTTTGAGTAAGCTGGACTGGATATTGCGTTTCATAACATGCCGGAGAGTAACGTTGCACAGATGTATGACTCTGTGAAGACTGGCCAGCGAGGTGCGTCAGTCAGTCAGGTATAGAATGCGTTCATGTTTTGAGTGAGTAGGTGAGTAAGCCAGAGTACCCCAATGCTAATGTTTGAGTAAGCTGGATAGCACAGTTCAGAACATGCCAGAGAGTGATGTGTATCAGATACAAGTAAGGTGAGTCTAGTGTGGGAGTGATTCATAGTTTGAGTGAGAGATTTTTTTGGAATTCCCATGATTTATTAGAGTTTTTGTGATTTTTGAGATTCTTGAAAAATCGCTTCACAGATATATGTGAAGACTGCCGAGCGAGATGATTCTGGTACTGAGTGAGTCAGAGTTTGGATGAGAGAAGACGGCATGATGTCAACCCACCGGCTGCCAAACGAGGTGACTTTTGAGTCGACTCAAAATGCACCTTTTGAGTCGACTCAAAATGCACCTTTTGAGTCGACTCATGAGTCAGAGTTTGGATGAGAGAAGACGGCATGATGTCAGTCAACCCACCTGCTGCCCTACTCAGGGTGTTCCGGCACATCTCGGGGACACCCGTGACGGGGCAGCAGGTGCTGCTGGACTCAATTTCTCCGCACTCTTCTCCTGTGTATGACTATTGCAGGCGTGGAGTCGGCTCAACTAGATGACGAGGAGGAGGAAGAGGAGGGCATGTCGACTCACCGGCTGCGCAACGTGGCGTTCCTGCGCATCCCAGGGACGCCCGTGACGGGGCAGCGAGTGCTGGACTTTGAGCGCCAGCTGGCGTGTGTGTCGCGCGACGGGCTGTGGGCGGTGAACTCGACGCCAAGGTGGATGCCGTGGGACCTCAACCCGCTGAGTATTGATCGCCAGCCCAACTACCGCTCCTGCGACCTGCTCTTTGCCAAAAGGTGCGGCGTGGTGCCGCAAGGTATGGTGTGGTACGGGTGAGGTACGGCGAGGTATGGTGCGGTACAGTGTGTTGGTTACACAGGGGCTTCATCCCATTGCTCAACGAACTCGACTCCACGTTGGATGCCGTGGGACCTCAACCCGCTGACTGTCTCCCGCCAGCCCAACTACCGCTCCTGCGACCTGCTCTTTGCCAAAAGGTGCGGTGTGGTGTGGTCCAGTGTGGTACGGGGACTGGATGAGGTGCAGATACTTGTCACTGTGCGAGCCACCTCTCCTGTAGCTTGCTACAGTTTCTCCTCCCAACCTGCTCCTGTGTGGCCTATCCCATCTCAGAACGGGCGGAGTGTTTGGGGCGCAGCGGAGAGGGCGAGGCGAACTTCCAACGCAAGGGCGGCATGGCGGGTGCGCAAGGAGCTGCTGTACCAGTGGCGCCCCGCCAGCCCACGCCGCTGCCACCCCTTCCTTCCGTTCCACCTCACTAGTAGCTGGTTTACATGCCTGCTTGCCTCCTGCCCCATCTGTCCCTCTTCCTCTCCCTCCGACCCAACGCCCCTGTCGTGTTTCTCCCATTCAGGAAGGGCGGAGTGTTTGGAGCAGCAGCGGAGCGCGCACGGAGGTTGCCCAATGCAAGAGCGGCATGGCGGGTGCGCAAGGAGCTGCTGTACCAGTGGCGCCCTGCCAGCCGCCTCCGCTGCCCCTCCCACCCGTTCCACCCACCACACTAGCTGATTTCCAAACCGCCCCAAAACAACATGCTTGCTTCCTGCTCCCGCCCTCCTCCCCACCTAATGAACCCTCCCGTCCCTTCAGGAAGGGAGGTGTGTTTGGGGCGGCTGCAGAGCGGGCGAGGCGATCCCCTAACGCAAGGGCGGCATGGCGGGTGCGCAAGGAGCTGCTGTACCAGTGGCGCCCCGCCAGCCCCCGCCGCTGCCCCTTCCAGCAGTTTGACCGCGCGGGGTTCTGCCGCGCTGTGAGGGGGCGCAACGTGGTGGTGGTGGGAGACGCGTTCAGCCTGGACTGGCACGACTCTCTTCTGAACCACCTCGTCACTGCGGGCACTAAGAACAAGGCAGGGCAACTGGGCGATGCCTGGTAAGTCGTTTAGGTGCCTCAAGAAGGAGTGGGTGTGAGGGGGCGGGCGCAACGTGGTGGTGGTGGGGGACGCGTTTAGTCTCGACTGGCACGACTCTGCTCAACCGCCTTGTGACTGTGGGGACTAAGAACAGGGCGGGGCAGCTGGGCGATGCCTGGTAAGGCCTAGGTTGGGGCTTCCTGAAGTGCCCTCAGGAGTGGCTGTGAGGGGGCGCAACGTGGTGGTGGTGGGGGATGCGTTTAGTCTCGACTGGCACGATGCGTCTTGAGTCTTGACTGCTCAACCACCTTGTCACACTGCACAAACCAAGCACAGGGCAGGGCAACTGGGAGATGCCTGGTAAGTCCTGCGGTGCCTGAGGAGTGGGTGTGAGGCTGTGAGGGGGCGCAACGTGGTGGTGGTGGGGGACGCGTTCAGCCTCGACTGGCACGACTCTCTGCTCAACCACCTTGCCACTGAGGGGACCAAGAACAAGGCAGGGCAGCTGGGAGATGCCTGGTAAGGCCTACGTCGGGGACTACAGGGGGTACTGGGCGGTGCTAAAGGGTGCTAGGAGTTGCCAGGGGCTTTCTGTGGCTGTGAGGGGGCGCAACGTGGTGGTGGTGGGGGACGCATGCAGCCTCGATTGGTATGATGCTCTTCTCAACCACTCGTGCATCTTTCCCTCCCCACCCACACGCCAGGGCCAACGTCACCGAGGGGGCGTGCTTTGAAAGGGGTCACCGCCTCTGCACCGACGTCCCCCTTATTCCCCCTTCCACCCCCACCACCACTGCTGTTGCTGCTGCTGCTGCTGCTGCTGATGATGACTCCTCAACACTTGGTGACCCTGACTCTGATCCTGCCACTGCTAGTGCTGCTAATGCTGGTCGCTTCACCGCTGGTGGTTCGGCTGCTGGTGGCGGTGGTGGCAGTGGCGGTGGTGCTGGTGGCAGTGGACTTGGAATAGGCGGTGCTGGTCGCCGTTCTCGCTTCGGGGCTGCTGCTGATGCAGCTGCGGACGACACAGGGGGAGAGGACCGGCAGGACAGGGGCGAGGAGGAGGGTGCAAGGGGGGGGCAGGAAAGTAAGGAGTTGGGTGTGGTGGGTGGACTGAGAAGTGGGTTTCAGAGGAAGGGCTGGGGACGAGGCAGAGGGCTGGCTGGGAGAGTGAGGGCTGGCGACTGGGAGGGGGACGAGAGGAGTGGGGAGGCTGCTGGGCTGGGAAGCAGAGAACGGAGTGAGAGTGGTGAGGGCGAAGGGGAGTCGACAGGATTCACGAGAGTGGAAGAGGAGGAAGGTTTGGGAGCAGGAGGCGGGAGTGGGCGAGCAGGGAGGACTGGGAGGAAGAGGAGGGCAGTCGGGAGGCAGGGGGGTGGAGGGGATGTGCTGAACCAGGGGGTGAGTGAGTCATTGAGCAACAAGGAGGGCGGCACTGGTGGTGTGGTGCTGAGGAGGAGGAGGATGGCGGGGTTCAATCTGCGGGTGGTGCTGAACGCTTTTGCAGCGCCGGACACGGGGCGGCCCACGCGGCTCAACAACCGCTGGCTGAAGCGCCTCAAGAAGTGGAAGACCAGCATCCTCGTGCTCTCCCGCACCCCGGCCTTTGGCGACAGTGAGTGGAAGAATGGGGGGGATGGGGTTGAGGAGAGTTGTCTGTTGCGACCAGCGTGGCAGGTCTTTAACCTTTCAAGCGCCTCAAGAAGTGGAAGACCAGCATCCTCGTGCTCTCCCGCACCCCGGCCTTTGGCGACAGTGAGTGCAGACGGGATACCCTAAAGGCAGTGAGGGACCTGTATCCGGACATGCTTGTCATCTTACTATCCCTCCCCCTTGCCTTGCCCCTATTTCCCCATCCAACCAGAGGAGCTGATGCTGCAGGAAGTGCGAGATACCCTCAAGGCTGTGAGGGACCTGTATCCGGACATGCTTGTCATCTGCTGACCTTTCCCCCTTGCCTTGCCTCTATTCCCCTGTCCAACCAGAGGAGCTGATGCTGCAGGAGGTGCGGGACACGCTAGAAGCAGTGAGGGACCTGTACCCAGACATGCTTGTCATCTAATTTTCTGTGCCCCTTGCCCCTTCATGTCTTCAGAGGAGCTGATGCTGCAGGAGGTGAGGGATACATTAGAAGCTGTGAGGGACCTGTATCCGGACATGCTCGTCATCTGGCGCAGCGCCGTGGGCGGCCATCCCAGCTGCCAGCACTTCACTCGCCCGCTCAGGACCCGGCCCGTCCTGCTGGCAGCCAAGGGGAAGATTCCCGACGTGTGGCTCCGGCACGCCGAGATGAACGCCGCTATCAGACCGCTGCTCAAGGTATGTGATTGCTCGTGCGCTCTACTTTAGGTGCATACATAGGGATCGCCGCCCTGCACCGCTGGCAGCCAAGGAAAAGATTCCCGACGCGTGGCTCCGGCATGCTGAGATGAACGCCTCTATCAGACCGCTGCTCAAGGTGTGTCTCTGAGTTGGCCCAAACTGAGTGTGATCATGCGGCTCCGCAAGGTGCAATCTGGCTCCTAACTCTCTCCCCTAATGCCTTCCTGACCTACTGCCCCCCAAACCCCCCCAGGAGTACGGGGCAGTGTACATGGGTGTGACCTCTGTCCTCTCTTCCCCCCCCCCCCTCCCCTCCCCTCCCCCCCCTTCACAAACCCCCCCAGGAGTACGGGGCAGTGTACATGGACGTGGACTCAGCCACCTCCCTGCGCCCTGACGGCCACCACGAGCGCATGGACGGCAGCATCAACTGCCACCACTACTGCATGCCCGGCCCGCTCGACCACTCCATGCCTTGCTGCTGCTGCTGCTGCTGCTGCTGCTGGCGCTGCTGCTGAAGCTCCCTCGATCCCCTCTTGATCAAACGCCCCTCCCCACCTTACCTACTCCCCTCCAATTTCCCCCCTCCTCCGCACCCCCTCAGGAGTACGGGGCAGTGTACATGGACGTGGACTCGGCCACCTCCCTTCGCCCCGACGGCCACCACGAGCGCATGGACGGCAGCATCAACTGCCATCACTACTGCATGCCCGGCCCCCTTTCTGTTGGTGGTGGTGCTGCTGGTGGTGGTGGTGGTGGTAGTGGTGCTGATGGCTGCTGCCGCTCCTTGCTCTAACGCCCCTCCCTCCCTACTCCCCTTCACCCCCACAACCCAACCCCCCCCAGGAGTACGGGGCAGTGTACATGGACGTGGACTCAGCCACTTCCCTTCGCCCCGACGGCCACCACGAGCGCATGGACGGCAGCATCAACTGCCACCACTACTGCATGCCCGGCCCGCTCGACCACTGGGTGTCTCTTCTCCATAACCTGCTGCTGCTGCTCGACCTACACTCCCCCCAGACCGCCCTCCCTGCTTCCGCTGCTGCTGCTGCTTGCTCTGACACCCCTCGCTCCCTATTCCCCCACACCCCCACAACCCAACCCCCCCCAGGAGTACGGGGCAGTATTCATGGACGTTGACTCATCCACCTCCCTTCGCCCCGATGGCCATCACGAGCGCATGGACGGCAGCATCAACTGCCACCACTACTGCATGCCCGGCCCGCTCGACCACTGGGTGTCTCTCTTCCATAACCTGCTGCTGCTGCTCGACCTACACTCCCCCCAGACCACCCTCCCTGCTTCCGCTGCTGCTGCTGCTGCTGGTGTTGCTGGTGGTGTTGCTAGTGGTGTTGCTGGTGCTGCTGGTTTTGGTGGTGGCGACGGTTTGTCTGGTTCTGGTTTCGGTGGTGCTGCCGGTGGTTCTGGGTCTAGTGGTGGTGGTGCTGGTGGGGTGCCAGTGGTGAAGGTACGTGGGGTGGTGGGCGAGGGGGGAGTGGTGGTGGAAGAGGAAGACTTGTCTGATGTGCCACGGGGAGGGAGGTGGAGGAGTAAGGAGGAGATAGAGGAGGAGGAGAGGGGGAGGGAGGATGGAGGAGGAGGAGGGATGGTGGGGGTAGGAGGTGCGGAAGGGTTTGAGGGAGCAGGGATTGGAGGGGGGATGGGAGTGGGAGGAGGGTTGGGTGAGGGGCAAGTGGAAGGGAGTGGTGGAGATGGGCGTGGAGGGGTGGAGAGCTCTCAAGATGCAGATGCGGTTGGTGCAGGACCAGGGACTGTTGGTGCTCCTGGCGGTGCTGCTACTGGTGCTGGTGCTGCTGCTGGCACCGCTGATGGTGCTGCTGATGCTGGTTTGGGGGTGTCTGGGAGTGGTGAAGCAGCAGGAGGGGTTGTAGGGGCGGGAGAAGGGACAACAGCTGCAGGTGTTACAGACACAGAGGCAACAGCTTCTGCTGATGCTGGTGCTGCTGGCTCTGCCACTGCTGCTGGCACTGTCACTCCTGCTGCTGGGACTGGCACAGTCAGTGGTGGCGAAGGTGCAAGTGTTGGAGCGGGAGCGGGTAAAGAAGCAGCCACTGCCGCTGCCGCTGCGGCTGCAGCTGCTACTCCGGCCTCTGCTGCCCCTGTTTTGGAGCGTAAGTGATTCCTTGAGTCCCCCCCCCCCCCGCCCCCGTGTCTTGTTGCTTTTCATGTGCCAACTTGTTACGTTGCACCCTTCACGTCCTCCTCACACACCCCTCTTCTCTCCAGTTCACCCCTCTTACTCCCACGTCACTGCTCTTCACCGTTCTTCCCCCCACTTCACCCCTCTCTCCCACCTTCACCCTGTTCCCTCCCCTTCCTCCACCTATCCCAGCCTGCACCAACTTCTCGGCGTGCATCCCAGGGACGCGCATTCGCGGCGAAGAAGCAGTGGCCGAAGCACAGCAGGAGGTGTCGTGTGTGGCGGAGGACGGCAAGTGGGTGCGCTTCAACACGCCCCGCTGGCTGCCGTGGTCCCGCGACCCACACACCAACCCACGCGCGCCGCACTACGGCACTTGTGACCTGCTACACGTGAACGAGTGAGTATGTGGGTATGCCTTGGTTTGTGCATTATGGAGCGTGCGGTTTGCCGCATATCAACGAGATAGTGGGGTGTGAGTGAGTGACGGAGTGACGGAGGCACAGCAGGAGGTGTCGTGTGTGGCGGAGGACGGCAAGTGGGTGCGCTTCAACACGCCCCGCTGGCTGCTCTGGTCCCGCGACCCCCACACCAACCCTCGTGCCCCGCACTACGGCACGGCACAATTTGTATTATTGATTCGTCGTTGATGTCTGCTCGTGGAGCTTTAGTGCCCACGGAAGTAGGCCAACCGTTTCTGCCCTCCCTTCCCATCGCCCTCCCCTGGGGTTCAACCGACTCTTCCTACTCCTCTCCCATCGCCCTCTTCCTTCTCCCCTTCCGTTTCTCCTCCCATGTCCCTGCCTCCCCAACCCCACACCCCCTAACCCCCTTCCCTACCCTGCTGGCAGGACCGGGGGCAAGGGCATGTACGGCTTTGCAGCGGACAAGTTTCGGAAGAATCCAGGAGACCGGGAGTGGCACGTGCGGGCGGAGCTCAAGTACCAGTGGAAGGCCAACCGCTTCTGCCCGCCGTTCATGGGGTTCAACCGGCACAAGTTCTGTGCGGCGGTGGGGCAGCGCAACGTGCTGTTTGTGGGGGACACCACTCAGCTGGCGCTGCACGACGTGTTTCTCAACCACGTCACTACCATCGCCACTCAGAAGGAAATCGGAGACATCGCTGACGCCTGGTGAGAGAGTGAGGTGCTGTCCATGCGGTGGGGGCTGGGCTGGGGTGCCTGCTAGTGGGGGTTTGGGATGCCTGGCGGTGGGGCAGCGCAATGTGCTGTTTGTGGGGGACACCACTCAGCTGGCGCTGCACGACGTGTTCCTCAACCACGTGACTACCATCGCCACTCAGAAGGAGATTGGGGACATCGCTGACGCCTGGTGAGGGGTTCGGTGTTGGTGGGGTTGGGGTGTAAGTGTGAGGGTGGGTGTAATGTACTTTTGCTGTGTGGCTTGACGTTGGGATTTGCCACGCTGCTCCTGCCCTCTGTTTCTCCGTCCCCCCTTTCTTCTTGGCTTTCTGGCAACTCCCAAATGCCAACCAAATCATGTGCTTGGGGCGACGCGAACCGCCTTTGTGCCCGAAGCCATAGAAGCTTGTTTAGGCGAGCTGCATTCTAGAAAAAATCTTTAGCAAATGATAGTCAGTAGTAAAAATTGACCCTGTTAAAAACCAAGAATCTGAAAACTGAACTCTTATTCCACTACAGGATTGAAACGCGAACATGTTTCGGTTGACTGGGACAGGCCCCAAGTCAAACCTTCATCAGCGCAAGCAGAATAGCATGTGGTCTCAAAGCCCTCGTCTCTCTCCTACTTTCATGGCAAAACGGCGCTCAACATCCAGCCAGTATGCGCCACCAGCACCAACCACGTGCTGTGCTCCAACATTTTACCGGGGGGCCTTCACCTTCCGTATTGCACCTGATGAGTGGTGCCCCGTGCCTTTCCCTCTGCAGGACCGCACCCAACACCAGCCGGCATGCGCAACGAACAATCCCCACATTGTGTGCTCCGACATTGTGCCGGGGGGCTTCACCTTCCACATTGCCCCTGGTCAGTCTTAATCACAATGCCCTCTCTCCCTCCCAGTGACAGGACGGCGCCCAACCCAACAACCAGCCGGCGTGTGCAACCACCAACCCCCACGTGGTGTGGTCGGACATTGTGCGGGGGGGATTCACCCTCCCTCGCCTCCACACTCCCCATCCCTCTCAATCACAGGACGGCGCCCAACAACCAGCCGGCGTGTGCAATCAACAACCCCCACGTGGTGTGCTCCGACATCGTCCCAGGGGGATTCACCTTCCGTGTCGCCCACAACAACCTGCTCACGCCCGACTCGCCGGGGGGGGGAGCGTTCAACCAACGTTGGCTGGGACACCTGAGGAAATGGAACATATCGATTGTGGTTCTCAACAAGGGCTTCGAGCACCGCCCCAGTGAGTGCCTGTGCTTGGCTCGGGGGCCAGTGGTTGGGGGACAGTGGCTAGGGACTGACTTGCCTGGGTAAGGGGCGTTCAACCAGCAGTGGCTTTGGCACCTGCAGCAGTGGGACGTGTCTATCGTGCCACTTCACAACAAAGGCTTCAAGCGCCACCCCAGTGAGTGCTGCTGCTTCACAGGCAGATGAAGTGACTGATTGGACTGTGTTGTGGAGGTGGTGGAGCGTGGTTCAGGTTGTGTCTAAGCAGCTTCAGCTGGGGTACCTGGACTGGACATTGCGGAACGTGTTCACGTTAAATTCTCAGCTGAATGTTCGAGAATCGGCTTGATGATCTTTTAAAACAGAAGTTTGATTATCTATAACTTCCTTACCAATCCCGCCATCTCTAATTGCTTATCCCAACCATCCCCTTGGCGTGGCTAACTTCCCCCCGTCTTCCCTTCCCAGCACCGGTGTACCTGAAGACGCTCCGTCAGACCCTCACGAAATTCCGACAGGTGGCGCCTGACACCCTGCTGATATGGCGATCCACGTGGCGTGGCCACGAGGGTTGTGAGAATGCCACAGAGCCGCTGGCAGCGCCGCCCGATAATGCTACCCGGGCTGGTCCGTGGGCATTCGTACTGGAGCAGAACGAAGCAGTGCGAGATTTGATCCGGGTGAGTTGGATGCTACGGGTAAGATATTAGCTTTTTGCTCCTAGATTCAGGGTTGCATTTTGGAAAGTTGATGCATATTCTAAAAAAAATACATGTGAGGTGATTCTTCTCCTGTCTGCTGTTATCCCTCTCCTGTCCGCTGTTTCCCTTCCTTATTGTGCAGGAATTTGGTGGCGTGTACATGAATCTGGATTTCTCCTTGTCAATGCGACCAGATGGGCACCTACGGCAACTGAATGGCCTCACAGATTGCTACTACTACTGCTTGCCTGGTCCTGTTGACCACTTCATGCGCCTTCTTTACAACTACCTCCTCATCCTTGATAGCAAAGGACCAGTTTCGCTGGCTCAAGGAGGGTCTAAAACTTAACAGGGCTAGGTTTCGTGACATAAATATGAAGTTTTTGTGTAGGTATCTTAACTATGCTTTACCTTCTCTATATGAATTGATGGGTGGGCTTGTACAATATCGGACACTCCCCAAGGAATATCTTGTTTGGTCGTGGACTTGAAAAGGAGCGCGAAGGCACAACCCACCAATAAAATTCCACCGTCGTGTTGCTGCTGTCTTCGCGATCCTGCCGTTCGTTCTAATCTGAGGCGTGTTGGACGGCCTAGGGTGCGTGCGAGATCTCTGAGCTGTGAGTCCCATTCATCTTTCTGGACCGATCCATCCACATGTGGTTTCTTCCAGTCCACCTGTGTCGTCCAGGATTTCCGCATCGACGGCTGTGGGCAGTTAGCGCCTAGAGAACAGGCAGATCTGTTTTCGGGGTTGTGCGTTCTGTTCACGACGCAGCACCTTTTAGTGAAGAGATGAGCATTCAGCCAAGCTAGTGACCAATGAGTAAGGGACGTTCCGACAGTTGCAGTGGCAGTCTCGTCTAGTTCACTAGAACCTTGCACACGGACTGCGCTCCACAATAAAGCTGTGAAGTTTCTATATCCATCCAGTCCCTTATCCTGCAGTGTTAGACTTCTTCTAGACAACGATTATTTCTCCAGCATTCAACCGTTCGATTAATCCTGTCGTCCAGCATTGACCGCTTTTATCTGACTCTATCCTGACCAGCATTTACCTCCCCTCTGTTGATACTCGCGTTGCTTATAATTTTTTGATAACGGATTTCCAGCATTCACCCGTACGGTGAATCCTCAAAAACGTCATTTCCTTTTCCTTGTAGTGATAGTACATTAGCTGAATTCGTCATAAATGGCATCGGTCGCTTTGGACCCTCCCCGCCATTGCTGGCGCGTCGCTCGGCCTCTTCCCGCCGTGATTCGCGCGTCCGCGTGTCGGAAGGACGGAGTCAGTCAGCTCAAGAGCAGCCAGCGGCGGCTCCTTGTTCTGACCGCCAAGCCAAAATGGCGACACGGTACGGAACATAATCACTCTTCTGTTTCAACTCTTGTGAGGCATCTGAAAAGGTATCAGTCAGCTCAAGAGCAGCCAGCGACGGCTCCTAGTTCGGACCGCCAAGCCAAAATGGCGACACGGTACGGTCCTAACCCGCGCTTATGTTTCGTCTTTTGAGGGGCCTCAAAAGGTGTCAGTCAGCTCAAGAGCAGCCACCAACGGCTCCTAGTTCGGACCGCCAAGCCAAAATGGCGATGCGGTACGAACCGCTCTTCTGTTTCAATTGTCCGGTTTGCCTGACAGTTTGCCAGTTTCTGTATCGTCAAAATTTATTGAATTCCTCGTCTACCAAATAAAATTATTGCTGCTTTCTTTACGCCAGCAATGTAGGCTTTTCCAGTCAACATTTTCAGGCTCATTACGTGACAAGGTTCCCCTCGCCGAGCCCATCGTCCCCTGCTTATCCCCCGGCTTTCAGTTACCTAAACGAACAATCCCTGCTTGTCCCCTGAATATTTGTTACCTTGCTGTTCCCTGACACCCACATTCCTGCAACCAGTAACGTTCAAGCGTAGCGGCCAGAAATGCCACGCGTCTCACTCCGAGTTCAACGGAAAGTAAGACCGCCTCTTCCACTTCCCCCTCTGCTCTGCTCCATTTCTCCCTCTGCTTCCACTTCCCCCTCTGCTCTGCTCCATTTCTTCCTCTGCTTCCACTTCTCCCTCTGTTTCCATTTCCCCCTCTGCTTCCACTTCTCCCTCTGTTTCCATTTCCCCCTCTGCTTCCACTTCCCCCTCTGCTCTGCTCCATTTCTTCCTCTGCTTCCACTTCTCCCTCTGTTTCCATTTCCCCCTCTGCTTCCACTTCTCCCTCTGTTTCCATTTCCCCCTCTGCTTCCACTTCCCCCTCTGCTCTGCTCCATTTCTTCCTCTGCTTCCACTTCTCCCTCTGTTTCCATTTTCCCCTCTGCTTCCACTTCTCCCTCTGTTTCCATTTCCCCCTCTGCTTCCACTTCCCCCTCTGCTCTGCTCCATTTCTTCCTCTGCTTCCACTTCTCCCTCTGTTTCCATTTTCCCCTCTGCTTCCACTTCTCCCTCTGTTTCCATTTTCCCCTCTGCTTCCACTTCGACCTCTGACCCTACTTTCCAAATTTCCCGTTTCTTATCTCACCATCCCACGTCTCTCGCAACACCCCTGGCAACGGCTACTCCCGCTGGCCGGGTCATCCTCTCTCCTCAGTTCTCAGAAGCCTTCCCTCCCCCTCTCTCACCCCACGTTCCCCGTTTCCCGTGCGCCCACCCAAGCAGGTCCCACTTATTTCGAAACGGTCACGGCAACAGCAACTCCCGCTGGTCCCACAACCCGTCAGCCGATTCACGGCCTTCAAAGGCCGGCTCCGACCGAGCGAGTCACCACGACGCAGCTCGGCGTTATGAGAGGGGATCCGTGGGGCGGTCTGAGGGGGCTCGGTACGAAAGGCGGTATGGGAGAGGGTATGGGAGAGGGGACGTTAGAGGGTACGCTCAGAGTGGGTCCGAACGGCCCGCCTCTCCAGGCTCTTCCCCTTCCCCTTCCCCCTCCTCGTCCGCCTCCTCGTCCGCCTCCCCGTTCGCTTCCTCCTCGCCTCCCTTCGCCGATTTTGCCCAGTCCACCGCACGCTCCCCTTCCTCGCCTGCCACCTCAACTGCTTCGCCAGATTCGAATGCTGCCGCTGGGGGGGCTGCTTCTGGAGAGTTTCCGTTCCAGTCGCATCACACGATCCTGGACGTTGATCAGATTGATCCGACGACTGGCGACGCTGCCGCGTGGGGTGGGCTGGACTCGGCTGCAGTGGCAGCGGCTTGGAAGAGGAGCTTTCTGAAGCGGGTGGTTGACACGATCACCAATTCCAAGTACTTCAATGTAAGCACATGGTGATGCGAGCACAGGGCATGGTTTGAGGTGCTTCATTTGACTACTTTTTGAAGCGGGTGGTTGACTGACACCAGCACTGATTCCAAATACTTTAATGTAAGCACAGAACAGTATAAGCACATCGAGTATATGCACGCACCAGCCTGGCTATTTCCACAGCGAGTGTAATGCCACACACTGACTTTGATGCCCACAGCTGGAAATGCAGAAACGTATTCCATCCACAGTATTCCATCCACAGTTACCCTCTCACTCGTTCTCGTTCCTCGTTGTTTCTCCCTCCCACCTTCCACTCCCGCGCCCCGCTCCAACCTCTCCCGTCCACTCATATCATCCTCCCCCACCCCCTCCTCTACCGCCTTGCTCCACTGCTCAACCCCTCTCCTCTCCGCCAATCAGCTGCAGACAGCTGGATGGCTCATTGCGGGGGCTGCCACGGCGGCAGTGGGCGTGCAGGTCACAGCACACATCATCCAGGTGAGATGAAACGCGCATGCTGTTCAGGTGAGATGAAACCGCACGTCATTCAGCTGAGATGACACGCGTACGTGGTTCAGATGAAACGCGCACGTCTATCAGGTGAGTGAAATGAAACACGCAGGTCGCTCAGGTGAATTGAAACGCTCAGGTCATCCAGGTGAGATGAAACGCACGCCTTCCAATCAGCAGTCCATCCCCCTCCTCCCCTCCCCTCCCCTCCTCTCCCTCCCCTCTTCTCCAGGCCATCGAGTCCGTTCCTCTGCTTGCATCTCTGGAAATCCTTGTTGGCGCTGCTGTCACCACCAACGTCGCCACCACCATTACTGGAGAGGGAAAAGGTGAGGGAAGGGGGAAAGTGAATGTTAAGAGCAAACATTATGTGGGGAAAGTGCGCAGTTGAATGGACAGAGGGTTACGCCAAAAGCACATGCAGCACAGGTACTCTTTGCCCTTTGCTTTGAGCCTGTTTTTGAGTTGACTAAAAAAAAGTTGCCCATTACTTTGAGCCTGTTTTTGAGTCGACTAAGAAAAAGTTGCCCTTTGCTTTGAGCCTGTTTTTGAGTCGACTCAAAAGAAGTTGCCCTTTGCTTTGATTCCTCCCCAAAGCATTTCCTCTCCTGCTCCACCCGTCGACCTCCCTCGTCCCCTCCCCCTCTCCTCCTCTCCCTCCCTCATAAGACCAACTTTCCCCACTTGTGCGCCCATGCTCTCCTCGTGCACCCCCACGCTCCCGTCCGTCCCCCACGCCCCCTATCAGCGCGCGAGCGCCTGGAGCAGCAGTGGGACGAGTTCGTGAAACGAGTCAGCGGCACGTATGGGCTGTCGGACCCGACTTTTGATGAGATGGAGAGCGGTAAAGACCTCGAGGTGCGTCAAATGTGACGGTGGGTTGAGGTGATTTGTGCATGTGGATGGTTCGAGTATACGCTGTGCATTGAGGGAGTGGCACGTATGGGCTGTCCGACGCTGTGTTGGACGAGATGGAAGGGGCCAGGTACCTAGTGCGTTTTGTGAAGTATCTGCGCACCTTGAGGCAGTGGCACGTACGGGCTTTCCTTCCAACCCGGTGTTTGACGAGATGGATGGGGACAATGACCCCGAGGTGGGCTGAGTTGTTATCTGAACATGCAAAACACCCACACCACACACACATGCACGCACGCACACACACACACACACACACACACACACACACACACACACACACACACACACACACACACACACACACACACGCACAAAAATACAGGCTCAGATACAGCAGCTGTTGCTGTCGCAGTGCAGTGCACTTATAGCTGACGCAGCACTGCAGCAGAGCGAGTAGCGAGCGTCTCAACGCATGCCTCCCTCCCCCTTATTTCCCCCCCCCCCCCCACACACACACACACACACACACACGCGCGCGCGCGCGTGATACAGGCTCAGATTCAGGACCTTCTGTCGCAGTGCAGTGCGATTATAGCCGATGCAGCAGTGCAGCAGAGCGAGCAGCGGCCTTCACACCTCGGAGGCGACTCATCAACAGAAACCCAGCAGCAGAGGGAGACGCAGGCAGCAGAGTTATTGCGGAAGGCCGCAGAGAGACTTGGTCCAAAGCCTGCAAACAGCACAGGAAAGGAGACAGAGGGGGAGGAGCTGAAAGACGGGGAAGGGAAGCAGGCTACAGAGGCTGATCCTGAGGTGCCTCAGAGAAAGGCTGATGGGGAGGAGGGGGAGGAAGCGGTGGTGGCGGTGAGAAAGGCGGAGCTGGTGCGGGTGTTATCTGAGTTTGTGGAGAGGAGGGAGGGCAGGGCGAGGCGGGTGAACCGCATGCTGCAGCAGGAGGTGCAGGCGGGCAGGGGACTGGAGGGGCGACTGGGGGACCTTACTAAGGTGAGTGCGAGTATGATAGCAATGGGAGGATGGGGTGGGTAGGGGAGAGGAGCTTGCAGGAGAGTGTGTGAAGTGCCATTAAGGTGCTGACTATGTGGGCAAAAGAGCAGGGCGAGGTACGTGAACTGCTCGCTGCAGCAGGAGGCAGGCAGGCAGGGGGCTGGAGGGGCGACTGGGGGACCTCACTAAGGTGAGTGAGAGTGACTAGTTTCACCAGGGTGCTGGCTATCGGGTGAAAAGGGCAGGGCGAGGGGATGGAACCGCGTGCTGCAGCTGGAGGTGCAGGCGGGCAGGGGGCTGGAGGGGCGACTTGGGAACCTTACTAAGGTGAGACTGTCGGGACAGTGGGCGGGATACCAGTGGGGAGTATGGGGGGAAAGGGCCTGCAGGAGGGACTGGGGGACCTCAGTAAGGTGCTTGCAGGAGACATATGACTGGGGGACCTCAGTAAGGTGCTTGCAGGAGACATATGACTGGGGGACCTCAGTAAGGTGCTTGCAGGAGACATATGACTGGGGGACCTCAGTAAGGTGCTTGCAGGAGACATATGACTGGGGGACCTCAGTAAGGTGCTTGCAGGAGACATATGACTGGGGGACCTCAGCAATTGGGGAATAATATGCTACGCCCTCCCATACTATACCATTCCACGCCCTGCCCTGCCCTGCCATGCCATGCATTGCCCTGCCATTCACATTATCGCTCGCGTGCTCCTCTCTGTCTGATCCCCCTCTATTCCACCCTTGCCATGCACCTGCCGTGTTGTCATGCTGATTTGCTTCCATGCTGGTTTGCTTATCCATGCTGCCATGCTGCCATGCTGCCATGCTGACAGGCTCTGGAAGTGCGCACTATAGCGTCCGTGGCAGCAGCAGAATGTCATGCCATGCCATGACACGACATGCCACACCTGTTCATTCACATGCTCGCCTTGCTCTGTTGAATCTGACAATGCTGACAGGCTCTGGAAGTGCGCACTTTAGCGTCCGTGGCAGCAGCGCAGAACGTGGCTCGCCTGCAGGCACTCAACGACTCGCTGCAGGTGAAATGGGCGGGCTGTGTGCGTGCATGCGCTAGCCCACTCTTCAAGGGAGAGATGGTGAGAGTGTGGAGAGAATGTGGGGATGTGGGGGCATCACTCGTAGCAGCGCAGAACGTGGCTCGCCTGCAGGCACTCGACGACGTGCTGCAGGAGAAACAAGTAAGGGGCCGTAGGGGCTGTAGGGGCTGTAGGGGCTGTAGGGGCTGTAGAGGCAGTAATGGCAGGGGGCTTTTATGTGGGTGGGCTTATCACTCGCAGCAGCTCAGAACGTGGCTCGCTTGCTGCTGATGAGCTGAGAGGGCTGTAGGAGCAATCGGGGCTAAAGGAGGGTTTGACTGCAGGCTCTTGCAGGCTCTTGCATGGGGTAATCACTGGCAGGCAGCATCACAGAACGTGGCCTGCCTGCAGGCTCTTAGTGACTCGCTGCAGGTGAAATGGATGAGTGGCCGGGCAGTAAGGGATGACAGCCACGTGGCAGTAAAGGGCATGTGATGTGACAGTCAAAGGCATGTAAACCACGTACACAGTTGGTATGGCCATTTTAGGGATCACGGATTTGACTTTTGAGTTGACTCAAAAGTCACCCCAAGGCATGTAAACCACGTACACAGTTTGTATGACCATTTTAGGGATCACGGCTTGAGGCACCAGTTAGTTTGTCCATGCGCCTTGAATGCTACCTGTGTACATATATGCTCCAAAGCTGTTTTGAACCATGCCCACACGTACCCCTCCGGCTTATCCCCTCCCACATCCCCTCCCACATCCCCTCCCACATCCCTTCCCTCGCCCCTGCCCTCGCCCCCTCCCACACCCCCTCCCACACCCCCTCCCACACCCCCTCCCACACCCCCTCCCACACCCCCTCCCACACCCCCTCCCACATCCCCTCCCACATCCCTTCCCTCGCCCCTGCCCTCGCCCCCTCCCACACCCCCTCCCACACCCCCTCCCACACCCCCTCCCACATCCCTTCCCTCGCCCCTGCCCTCGCCCCCTCCCACACCCCCTCCCACACCCCCTCCCACACCCCCTCCCACATCCCTTCCCTCGCCCCTGCCCTCGCCCCCTCCCACACCCCCTCCCACACCCCCTCCCACACCCCCTCCCACACCCCCTCCCACACCCCCTCCCACACCCCCTCCCACATCCCTTCCCTCGCCCCTGCCCTCGCCCCCTCCCACACCCCCTCCCACACCCCCTCCCACACCCCCTTCCTCGCACCCTCCCTCACCCTCTTCCTCGCACCCGCCCTCGCCCCTTCCCACACCCCACCCGTCGTGCCCGTGTGCCGGCAGGCGGAGCGCAACAGTGTGACGAGTCAGCTGTCTGCGTTGACCAATCAGATCACAGGGCTGACCACATCTCTGGACGTGCTGACGAAGCAGCAGGACTCTGTATCCCAGTCCAACACGGTGGTGAGCGGTGATGTGTGGTGTGTGTGGGCGCATGTGTGGGGAGGAATGGGGGGGAGAAGAGAGTAACGTGTGGTGGTGAGTAGTGATGTGTGGTGTGTGTGCGCATGTAAATGTGCCTGTGTGGGGGCGTGGGAGAGAGGGGAAGTAACTTTTGTTTCCCAGTCTAACATGGTGGTAAGCGCTGACAAGTTGCTTTCAGCACCCCTTTCCAGCCCCATTTCTCCCCCTTTTTCCTTTCTCCCCCTCCTCCCCCTTCCCTCCCCCCTGCCAGTTGCGCACTCGCCTGCGCAAGGCACTGCTGGAGAAGCGCCAGCTGGCGCAATCATTGCGGGCGGCGCACCGCGTGCAGAGCGAGCGGGCGAGTGACGTGGAGGGGCGGCTGCGGGCGGTGGGAGCACAGCTGAGGGCGAGCGAGGGGGCAATGGTGCAGCAGAGGAGAGAGGAGGAGGTGAACTTGCAGACGTACCTGTCCCAGCATGCTGCTATTAAGGTGAGATGAGGGATATGTAAGGGCAAGAAATGCATGTGGAGGGGTGCGGAGGGTTGTGAAGGGATGTGGAGGGATGTGGAGGGGCAAGGAGTACGTTATGGGCAAGTACAGTAGACAACTTGAGCTGAGGTTCCTTTGACAGAATCTGCTGCTCGTTGGCTGGGAAGGATGTCAGAAGCCTTTGATCGGAGGGACGTGGAAGGGCGGCTGCGGGCAGTGGCAACTGTGGGTCATGTGTCCTCTCTTTCCTCTTCCTGTCCCCATATCTCCCCCCTTTTTCCCCCACCCCTTTCCAGTCGGAGCGCAATGCAGCAGGCGAGTGGTGCAGGCGAGTGACTTGCAGCACCGGGTGGCATCTGTGTTTCATGCGCTTCCTCTCTAGTAGACTCCTCATACCCTGGCTGTTTCCCTTGCCCTTGCTCCCTCTTCGTCCCCCCTGCAGTCAGAGCGCAACGCAGCAGTGGTGCAGGCAAGGGACTTGGAGCGCCGAGTGGCATCTGCGGAAGCTCAGCTGAAGGAAGTCACCCGCTCTCGTGACCACCTCTTCATCACCAACCATGAGGTAGGGATTGACCGCTGCTGGCTTGGCTAGCAACCACGTGTGGGGCACAGCACGTATGGGTGGGGCAGAAATGTCCGATGGCGCATGGTGAAACCTGCTGCGGAAGCTCAGCTGAAGGAGGTGACCCGCTCTCGTGACCACCTCTTCATCACCAACCATGAGGTAGGGATTGACCGCTGCTGGCTTGGATAGCAACCACGCGTGGGGCACAGCACGTATGGGTGGGGCAGAAATGTCCGATGGCGCATGGTGAAACCTGCCGCGGAAGCTCAGCTGAAGGAGGTCACCCGCTCTCGTGACCACCTCTTCATCACCAACCATGAGTTAGGGATTGCATGTGGACATCCATTGCCTGCTTGTGGACATCCATTGCCTGCTTGTGGACATCCATTGCCTGCTTGTGGACATCCATTGCCTGCCTTCCAGCCACGAGTTAACGCTTCCGTGCCGTGCAACCACGAGGTATGCTTCCCTGCTGCTGGCAACCACGAGGTATGCTTCCCTGCTGCTGGCAACCACGAGGTATGCTTCCCTGCTGCTGGCAACCACGAGGTATGCTTCCCTGCTGCTGGCAACCACGAGGTATGCTTCCCTGCTGCTGGCAACCACGAGGTATGCTTCCCTGCTGCTGGCAACCACGAGGTATGCTTCCCTGCTGCTGGCAACCACGAGGTATGCTTCCCTGCTGCTGGCAACCACGAGGTATGCTTCCCTGCTGCTGGCAACCACGAGGTATGCTTCCCTGCTGCTGGCAACCACGAGGTATGCTTCCCTGCTGCTGGCAACCATGCCCACACGTGGGGAGGGGCACACGCGAGGCATGCATTGGGCACACGTGAGGCATGCATGGGGCACACGTGGACCACGAGGCAAAGGCACTGACAATGTTATCTCTGCTTACTCCCCTGTTCTCCGCTTTTCACCCCTGTTCACCACCTTTCACCCCGTTTCCACCCTTTTCATCACTGTTCACCCGTTAACATCCCTGTGACAGTTGAACACGCGGCTGACAGCAGCAATGGGCGAAATAATCTACAGCAGCGGGTGGATCAGCTGCAGCGCACCAGCCGCCTCTCCGCTGCCGCCTTCAGAGACCAAGACACTGACGAGATCCTCTCTGCTTGCACCCATTTTCACTCCTGTTCAACCCAGTTCACCTCTGTTTACCGCCTTTCACCCCTGCCTATCCCCCCGAATCGCCTCCATCCCTCAGTTGAACACCCGCCTGACAGACACAGTGAGCGAAAACAGGCTCCTCCAGCAGTGGGTGGATCAGCTGCAGCGCACCAGCCGCCTCTCCGCTGCCGCCTTCAGAGACCGCGAAACCAAGACACTGAGGGGATTAACTCTGCGGACTCTCATTTTCGCCCCTTCTCAACCCCTTTCACCCCTGTTTACCACGTTTCACCCCTCTCTACTACCCTAAAAAACCTTCCCAGTTGAACACGCGTCTGACAGCAGCAATGAGCGAGAACAGGCTGCTAAAGCAGCGAGTCGATCAGCTGCAGCGCACCAGCCGCCACTCTGCTGCCTCCTTCAGAGACCGCGAGAGCACGCTCAAGCAGCACCTTGCGGAGCGCCATGCTGAGCTGGCAGCCTCCCGCCAGCAGGCAGCCGCTGAGCTGGCACGAGTGACATCCAGCCTGGAAGCCAAAGTGGTAAGCGGCTCTTGCACTCCCTTTTGAGAACTCTCAACAGAAATCTCTACAGAAATTTCAACAGAAATCTCCACAGAATTCAACAGAATTCTCAACAGAATTTCAAGAGTGGTAAGCGGTTCTCCAACTCTTAATGCATATCCAAAGACAGTTGTTCTTAGACATTGTTGTGTTCGTTCCTTTCCCTCCCTCTCCTCCCCTCTCCTCATTACTCGCCCTGATCAACCTCTATTTCAGTACCATAAACTGGACTGGAGTGAGCAGCACAGGATGTGGAGGAAGGCAAGGGGGAGACTTTTGAGTCGACTCAAATTTCAGTACCATAAACTGGAGTGAGCAGCATAGGAGGTGGTGGGGAGCAAGGGGGCGGTGAGGTTGCTGGAGGAGCAGGTGGGGTATACCTAACTTGTTCTCACCTTTTGCACCCCCTGTGTTTGGCTTGAACGCACAGAGAGCAGCGCAGGAGGAGGTGGAGGAGAGCAAGGGGGCGGTGAGGTGGCTGGAGGAGCAGGTGGAGTCGATGCGGGAGGAGGGGCTGCTGCACACGACACGGCTGAGGGCTGCTGTGGCTGCCGCTGAGAAGCGGGCACAAGAGGTGAGAGAGAGGAGAGGAAAGGTCGAGAGACGAGAGGTATGGAGCGAAGCGGTAAAGAGAGTAAAAGTTTGAGGAAGAGGAGCAGCTGCACACGGCACGGCTGAGGGCTGCTGTTGCTGCAGCTGAGAAGAGGTGAGAGAGACAGGAGAGGGGTGGGGGGATGAGAGGGAGTTTTCAGGGTGTATTGAGTATTTTTCAACAGCCTGTTGCGGGAAGAGGGGCAGCTGCACACGGCATGGCTGAGAGCTGCTGTCGCTGCTGCTGAGAAGCGGACGCAAGAGGTGAGGCAGAGGGGAGAGAAAGGGAGAGGAGAGGTAGGGAGAGTAAGAGTTTGAGGGGAGAGGGGCAGCTGCACAGAGCACGGCTCAGAGCTGCTGTCTCTGCCACTGAGAAGCAGGCGCAGGAGGAGAAAAAGAGGGATGTAGTATGTGGTCCGTGTCTGGAGTTTGACCTGTGTCACTGCGTTGTGTTCCATGTGTCGTTGCCTGATTGCAGGAAGCCGAACGGGCCAATGAGCTGCAAGCGTTGCTTGCAGAGAGAAAGGAGGCATCAGACAGAGAGACGAGGCTTCTTGAAGAAAAGGTTTCCTTGCTAGAGTCCAAACTGAGCGAGATGGAATTGAAACTGGCTGCTACAGTGAACAGTGCGATAGCAACTGCCAGGTCAGCACTCCTGCCGCCCACCCCTGCCTCGCCAGTAGACGCCTCGTTACTGTCCTTTGAAGGCTTTGGATCGAGTATTGAAAACACCGAAAGCAATACTCTCTCTGGCTCACCCAATAGCAGTGAAGTTGGCAGCAGCATGAGCAGTGGCAGCGTGAGCAGCAGCAGTGGCGGCAGGAGAGGGAGCAGAAAGGGGGAGAAGAGCAGGAGCAGCAGCCCTGCGAGGCGTCTACGCAAGGAGGGGAGCATGGACGGAAGCGTGGAGGAGACTGGGCTCGCCAAAAGGACCAGTGTAGAGGGGACAGCGTTGGGTCAAGAGGGAAGCTCAGAGGTAGGGTCGCTGGGCGAAGGGAGAACCGCAAACTTGACAGCATTGGGTGAAGGGGGAAGTGCAAAGGTAGCGGAGAATAAGGCAGGTGGAGGCAGAGGTGAGGAGATGGAAGCAGGTGAGGCGAGCAATGAAGAGGCGCTGGGAGCAGGCGAGGCGAGCAATGAAGAGGCGCTGGGAGCAGGCGAGGAGAGCAATGAAGAGGCGCTGGGAGCAGGCGAGGAGAGCAGCACGAAGGAAAGAGCTGGAGGCATGCGCACGAGCAACTCTGCTGCTGAGGCTGAAGCCGAAGCTGTGGCTGAGGCTGTGGCTGAACCTTCTGCTGTGGCTGAACCTTCTGCTGTGGCTGAACCTTCTGCTGTGGCTGAGGCTGTGGCTGAACCTTCTTTTGAGGCGCCTCAAAAGGCTGTGGCTGAACCTTCTGCTGTGGCTGAACCTTCTGCTGTGGCTGAACCTTCTGCTGTGGCTGAACCTTCTGCTGTGGCTGAACCTTCTGCTGTTGCTGCAGACGCTGAGCTTGCTGCTACTGGCAAGAGCAACGCTGCTGCTGAGGCTGAAGCCGAAGCTGAGGCTGTGGCTGAAACGTCTGCTGTTGCTGTGGGCGCTGAGCTTGCTGCTGATGGTGCTGTTCCTATCGGTGCTCAGGGTGATGGCAATGGTGAGGAGGATGTTGTTGCTGTGGATGCCACTTCTGCAGCAACGGTGCGTGGGGAGGAGGAAGGAGCTGCAGTGATTGGTGCTGACGTTGAAGGAAGTGCGGCTGGGCCAACTGCTGGTGCAACTGTTGGTGCAGAGGTGTCAGCTCGTGGAACGCCGAACGAGGCTCTTGGCACGCCGAACGAAAATGACTTGAAGGTGCGGTACTTGAATGGGAAGGGGATGTGTGAAGGTCACATCAAGGGAGTACTGGATAAGGTCGCTGATTGCACATTCATGGCGTGCCAGCCACCCTGCATGGCGTGCCACCCTGCATGGCGTGCCATATTGGCTGCTACTGGATAAGGTCGCTGGTTGCACATGCATGGCGTGCCACCTCTCATGACATGCCATTCTGCATGGCGTGCCACCTCTCATGGCATGCCATTCTGCATGGCGTGCCACCTCTCATGGCATGCCATTCTGCATGGCGTGCCACCTCTCATGGCATGCCATTCTGCATGGCGTGCCACCCTGTATGGCGTGTATGCGCAGGCCATCTTCCCAGCTCATTGGTCTACCACCCCCCAGCTCCTTCTATCATTGCTGACTTTTAAGGCTCCTCTAAAGTCCTTCTAAGGTTGATCTTTCCTGTCTGCCTGTCTGTCTGTCCCACTGTCCCCTCTCCTTGTCTTTGCCATCACCCTCCTTCCCACCAATGCTGTCATCAGGTGTATGCGCGGGCCATCTTCCCTGTGTATGTGACACTTGACGCGACTATCATGCAGTTATGAGATGTCTCAACACCCTAACCTCCGTATGGCCATCACCCTCCTCCCAATCCCAACGCTGTCATCAGGTGTATGCGTGGGCCATCTTCCCTGTGTATGTGACACTTGACGCGACTATCATGCAGTTATGAGATGTCTCAACACCCTAACCTCCTTATCGCCATCACCCTCCTCCCAATCCCAATGCTGTCATCAGGTGTATGCAAGGGCCATCTTCCCTGCGTATGTGTCACTCGACGCGTCTATCATGGAGCAGAGCCGAGGCATGACAGCCATGGTGCAGGTACGGCTGTCATGGTATGGTGGTAGTGCGTGTATGCAGGTATGAAACTTAATGCATGTACAGTACTTTATGCATGTAGTGCTCCGGGTATGTTTAGTACCCCACGTTATCCCATGCATGCATGATATCCCATTCGTGGATAATACTGCACGTCTACTGTATGTGATGCATGCATTTTGTCATGTCTGGTTATGTCTCATCCATGCATCTTTTTTCCATTGCAGGATATGGTCAAGATGGGGGCAGACAAATCATGGGCCAAGCGTCATGTGGAGGAGGAGTTATTGAAACCCGCGCTGACACAACATGTAGCCGTTGCTGCTGCTCGTGCGGTGAGCACTCGCACTCGGAGGAAGCAAGGAAGGCAAGCCAAGGCAACTAACAGTAACACTAACAAATCAGCTGATGAAGAATTAAGTGCAGGAGACCTGGATGGTAAGGTGGTTATGCAGTAGACTAAAAGCTTGGGCAATGAGCTATCCTTATTATGGTTTGAGTAGAGCTTGTAAATGGGATCTAATTGAGGTGCTCCACTCATCCTTGCATGTTTGAAGGTTTGTGTGATTTTGAGAACAATGTGGAAGTTTTACGACTATCTCGAAGTGGGAAAGGGGTATCTACAAAGAGGGTTGCGCGGTGGCTCTATCGCAACCCTTGATGACTTACAGCCTCGCTCATCGTGGCCGTTGCGTAGAAAACGGGGTTCTCGAAAAAGTTTTCAGCTGTTCTCTGGAGACAGTCGAAGTACAGACGTGGAAGTCCATTGGCCCCCGAAATTGCCGAAGGGCGGCGGAACAGTATATCCGTACCTCAGCGTCTGCTTCGGACGAAGGAGGCGTGTCATGTCGTATTTGAACAAATCCCGCCCCGTTTCGTCCGCTCCGTCCGTCCCCTGACCACAGTCACTTGGCAGGGAAGACCACATATAATCCGAACCAGTCACTGCAAGGGCTTGACGAACCGTCCGATCTGAGCCACAGAAAGGCGCTGTATCGTACAAGTGTTCCTGGTTAGAGGCTCTCGTCGAGAGAGTCCCTTTCCCCCCCTGAGTAGAATTTTCGGATATCGCCTAGGGTTGGCCCGAACCCTATAGTCCCGTTTTTGGCGGGAAATTTTGCAGCTTGACCGAATCATTGCACGAATCAGCTCCGCAGCCAATCAGAGGCTCCAGATCAAACCAGCCCAACATTCAAAGAGAACGATGAAAAAGGGATCATCGATTCGATATTTTAACCTTTTTCACTGTAAATAATTTTCTCTTGACCGCGCATGATTCTCAATCCTGTCGTGCTGTCTCCAGCGCGATCGACGATGACATCTCATTTATCTCGCTTACAGGGTAGAAACGAAGTTTCTGGGTTACTATTCGACCCAAAAACCATTTTTGATTTTGTTTAGTTTTGACCGTTAGTCAAGCGACATTGATCAGCGTGGAAAACCGTGCGACTGGAAGTTGAAGCAAGCGCGGTCCAAATCTACGTCGGCGATGTTGATCCGTCGGACTATAAACGAGAACATTTGTACCCTGCTGCTGCTGATTCGCCTGAACATATGATCTGGACTTGCCTTCCGGACGTAAATCTCGGCTCGGTTCGGCCCCGCCCGGTTCGGCTCTCCTCACCTGAGGACGAGGACGCGGCACCTGTTTTCAATTTGCCAGGATCGATCGTGAGAGGGGATCGATGTGCCACTTGTACAGTGTATTGGCGACGTCGCCAGTTCCTGGTATCCGTTTTTCGCAGGACGTCGAAAGTATACAGTAAACGGGTACCCAAAATGGTGGCACCTGCAGCTCGCCCGATCGATGTGCCGTGGTGCACACATCGATCGTGCGTTTGGGTTGGCGGGAGAGCATATCGCGCCACAGGTGACAGCCGCGATCAATCGGCGTCGCCCACGGTCGCAGGCAAAAAATTCTTGAGTCGTTGCGAATGAAATTGCTGGGCGACCAGCCACGCTCTGCCCTGATTGGCTGTGCGTTTGAGTGTGTTGCTGTTCTGACGCAGCTCCAACCTGCCCGATCCTGCAATTTCGAACCTGGCACTTATAGTTCGATGTGTCTACCCCACTGCAAATTTGCAGTGCTGGCACATCGGTGTGCCGATCGATGTGCCAGGATCGATGTGAGGTCTCGATCCCACCCGATCCTGGCAAAATGAAAACATGTACCGCGTCCTCAAAGACCTGACCTCCTCCCCACGCCTTTTTCCAGCAGCCCAACTTATCCAAGCCCAAACCCAAGTTCCCAACCAACCTCATCAACCTTGCTCATCAGGATTCAGGAGGACCCACCTGAGATTTCCTTAGGGCGGGTCCAGCGCGTACGTTTAAAGGTTCTATACAGTTCATCCGTCGTGATTTGGAAAGATATAAAACGGTGAACAACGGTTCTGAAATCGCACCGCTATGAACCGTGACGCAATACAGATTACCGCACTGAATGAACTGTAATGTACGGAAAACGTACGTGCTGGACACGCCCTTATTTTCTTGGGAACTCAAACCAGCGCCGTAGTTCATTCAGACTGTGTAGTTGAACCAGTTTTGTCCAGTTTTAGGATCCTTCAATGTCCTGTTGGGTTTCCTGGTATTTTTAGGCCGGCTGAGTGTTAGGTCGTGTGGTCCCGCATTGATTCTCGGCTTGCGTGTGATGGTGAAGTCCTAGACGAGGATCGATCGTCGTACCCTAGAATGCAGATTCCCTCCGCGCTTCCCAGCATTGTTCCAAAAGGAGAAATCCGCGATCTGAAACCCTAGGTCCTATTCTAGTCTCGATCCTCATCAGCGTTATCACGTTGCGCATGGACGTGCCGCCTTCCACGCCGTGCTGCGCGGCCAGCCATCCAGATCGTCACAGTAGCGGCCATTCCTCATGCCTAAGCTCCTCCGCGTGCACGGAAGCTGCCTCGCCGGACGGCGAGTGGAATCTGCGCGAAGCGGGGAGTGGCGCAGGCGCAGGTCCTTCCGCGCGCGGGGGATCTTCCGCGGGTCTTCCGCAGAAGCGGCGGGAGCCGCCGTCCGCGCAGAGGGACCGCGCGGAGTGCCGGTGGTGCGGACGGCGCGTGTTGCTGAAACGTCGGTGCAGCTGCCGCGCGTGCTTGGAGTCGGGACCGCCGATGGATCGACGAATAATGCGATGCCGCGACTGCACCATTCACTCAGTACGTGACTTATGGCACATCGACAATATCGAATGTGAACGAAAAGAAAAGAAAAGGAAAAGGCGCAACGGTTTTGCGGTACAAAATCAGGAAGGATTTCATTATGGATCAGCAATGAATCCAGGGCTTCGGGCATTATTCATTCAGTGCAGCATTGGTGAACTTGCACGTTTTATGGCGAATTAGACAGCGCAGTGATGCAATGTAGCATTAAGCAACGCCTGGGGTGAAACATTGGACCAATCCCTGGATTTTACAGAGCACGTATCTGCAGCTACTCAGGAAACATACGCCATGTCTCTGGCATTGTAGATTCCTCGTACTTCCACCACAGGTACTCTGCAATGCTTATCTATGGCGTATATGAATGAGGTTGTGGTGAACTGAACTCTCTATAGTATCCTTTTCACCCCCTGTGCCGTCTAATCGATTCACCTAGGATGTGGTGAAGTGATTTCTGAAAGATGTTCTTCCCATCCCCTGTGCTTGGATCTCAGGCGCTCCACATGGCTTATCGCTGCCGCATGTAACAGATCGGGATGAGCTGAACTGAACTCTCAATAACATCATCCTCCCCATCTCCCCCATCCGTGTGCTTGCACCCCAGGCGCGCTGCATGGTGTGTCTGTGCCTGTGCCGAGTCTATGAGGACGTGGTGACCTGAACCCTCAAGGCCATACGTTCCCCCCACCCCATCCCTCGTGCGTATGCTTCCACCCCAGGCGCGTTGCATGGTGTGTCTGTGCCTCTGCCGTGTGTACGAGGACGTAAAGCGGTGCTCTGAACCCTCAAGCCATACATTCTGTTTCCCACACCATCTTTGTGTTTCCAGGCGCGCTGCATGGTGTGCCTGTGTCTGTGCCGAGTCTATGAAGACGTGGAGAGGTGCTGTGAACCTGCTGCACCACCGCTGCGCAAAGCCACAGATGGGGCTCTCATGGACCTCCCACGGGCTGCAATGCATGCACCACAAGCTCTTCCCCTCCGTTCCCACTCCTCACTACCCTCCTCACTCCATGCCTGCCTCCCCCCCATACCCCTTGCTTGTCCTTTGCACGGCAGGCGCGCTGCATGGTGTGCCTGTGTCTGTGCCGAGTCTATGAAGACGTGGAGAGGTGCTGTGAACCGGGGTGTGTGAACCTGCTGCACCACCGCTGTGCCAAGCCACAGATGGGGCTCTCCTGGACCTCCTACGGGCTGCACTGCATGCACCACAAGCTCTTCCCCTCGCCCTCCTCTTCTTCCTCGTCCTCCTCCCTGTCCAACACAGCCGCTGCTGCCGTTACAGCTGTTAACGCAGCCGCCACTGCCACCGCCGCCACTGCTGCCACTGTTCCCATGACAGCCGCTGCAGCCACTGCTGCCACCATTGGCAATGAAATCGGCGGTAGCGGTAGTGGTGGGGGTGGTGGCGGTAGTAGTGGGGGCGGTGGCAGTGGTAACGGCGACGGTGGTGGTGGAAACGACAACGGGGTTGGTGGGAGCGACGGTGGGTTGGACAGCGGCAGCAAGGTTGGCAACGAGAAGGAGCAAGCGATCACCAGCAACTTCAGTAGCAGCAATAGCAGCAGCGGTGGTGGCGGCAGCGCCGGTGGCAATGCTGGTGGTAGTAAAGAAGGTGGTAAGGTTAGTGGTAAAGATACTGAGTATGGTGATGCTGGTGGTACTACCAATGGCAGCACTGGCGGCAAGAGTGGTGGTGGTGGTGGCGGCGGTGGTGGTGGTGGTGACATTCATGGCAGCAGCAGTTGCAGCAGCAAGGACTCGTGTCATTTCTGCAGCCTGCTGGAAGAGAGATCCACGCTGCCCTGCCTGCCCACTCCTTCAATTCTCAACTGGGTGCGTCTCAGGCTATGGGCCGTCCATTATTCGTGCGTCCCAGGCTGTGGGCCGTCCATTATTCGTTGCAATTGCGGTCGTTCTGCCTGCCAGCCCGTGCTACATCGTGTTCTGTCCTCCCTCTCTCAAGTTCTTGTCAGCAGAATGCTGCTGCTGCCAATGCCTCTCAACTCAAATGCCGTGCGTGTCACATGCCTTTCCCAGCATATCCAGCGCCCCTTCCTCTCACACGCCCATGCAGCCTCACTCACCACCCACTCTCCCTCTTTGCTCTTTCCCTTGTTTCTCTGCACGTGCATTTGTGTGCATATGTGTGTGCCTGTGCGAGTGTGCATGTCTGCATGCATGCATGTATGCGTGTTGTTCCTCCTGCTGCATGTGCATTGCGGATGTGTGCATGTCCCCTGCCCTGCCAACAGTACTGTGAGCCCGTGCAAACTGCACAGGTGAGCCGCATCCGCCTTGCTCCTCCATCCCCTTGCCAATCTGCGTTTCCTCTACCCCTGGTTCCCTCCTTCCATGCTTCTCTGTATCCCTTCTTATCCCCCTGTCTGCATGTAGATGTTTACATACATATGTGTGTGTATAGGTCAATCTTCTCCCCCCGTTCCCCCCCCCCCCCCCCCCCCCCTCCCCCCCTCTCTTTCCCCGCTTCCCCTGTCTGCAGCAAGGCATGTGCGCGCTGCCCCTGCCCCACGTTGCAGTGGACTTCCGCCTGCCTCCCGCCATATCCCCCTCTCTCTCCCCCCTTCCTCTCCCCATTCCTCTCCCCCTCTCTTTCCCCGCTTCCCCTGTCTGCAGCAAGGCATGTGCGCGCTGCCCCTGCCCCACGTGGCAGTGGATTTTCGCCTGCCCCCCGCTATTCCCCTCTCTGTGGATATGGAGGAGCGGGACGATGGGACCCTACCAGCTGCAAACCAGCAGCTGAAGCCGCGATACATACACATCAACTCGAGTGAGTGAGGGGAGTGAGTGAGGAGAGTGAGTGAGAGAATGACCCCCTACCATTCCCCTCTCGGTGGATCTGGAGGAGAGGGACGAGGGCTCTGCACTCCCTGCAGTTCAGCAGGTAATGCCGCGATACATACACATCAACTCTAGTGAGCGCTGCAACAGGAAGTTGTGCATCTTTTTGAGAGTGGCATGACGCGTGGCATGACGCGTGGCATGACGCGTGGCATGACGCGTGGCATGACGCGTGGCATGACGCGTGGCATGACGCGTGGCATGACGCGTGGCATGACGCGTGGCATGACGCGTGGCATGACGCGTGGCATGACGCGTGGCATGTGACATTACACATCAACTCTCAAGTGACAAGTTCTATGGAGGAATCTTGAAAACTCTTAAAGTGACACAAGTGGTCGAGGGAGGACCATGACGTGACACATGCTGTGATTACACGCCTTACCTCCCAAAAATCATCCGTTCATCTCCCTGCCATGCAGACAAAAAATGCGCATGCGCCCTCCGCTCTTCCCTGCTGCCATCTTTCCATCTTACGAAGTTTTCCCCGCCCCCTTCCCATATAGACATACACCTGCGGCCTCCGCCAGTGATGGATGACGAGGACATGGGGTGCGATTGTAAAGGGGGGAGCAACACCGCGTGTGGGGACGACTGCATGTGCCGGTGAGTCCAACACCGTCTCTTATGCGTCTCATTTCAGTCATTTTCCAGTTCACTCATCTCAATTCATTTCATTGCACTTTGTCGCGTCTCGCTTCATTTGATTTCGCTTCGTTCCATTCCACTTCGCTTCGTTCTATTCCACTTCGGCTGGGTGAGCCTTGCCTTGTCTGGCCATGGCAGGGCGCAATACCTGAGCTGCACCAATCGCTGTGGGTGCCACGGGGGGTGCTGCAACAGGCCCTTCAGTCGCCCAAAGAGGCTTGATATCGTGCAAGTGAGTGGCAGCTATATGAGTGCGAATTTTGAGAGTCGCCCAAAGAGGCTTGATATCGTGCAAGTGAGTGGCAGCTCCTTTCTCTTCAACTCCTCCGTTTTCAGACATGTTCTATCCTGGGCGTTTCGGAAAATGGTGCTCTCTATGCCGCACCACCCCCTTCAACTGCGTCCCACCATTGAGTCGCATACCCCACCACCCCTTCACCATCCCAAACGTCCCAGCCCCCCTCCTACACCCATTCTCCCACCCCCCCACTCCCCACCCTCGCTCTCCCCTCCCCACCCCCCCCCTCCTCCCCCGCTCTTCCGTCATCCCCCCATGCAATAAACCGCGCCTCCACCGCACGCCAGACGCAGCGCTGTGGGTGGGGAGCCATGGCAGCAGAGCCCATCAAGGCGGGCGAGTTCATCGTTGAATACGCCGGTGAAGGTGGGTTGAGGGGGGTGAAGATGGGTCAAGAGCTGGTGAAGGTGGGTTGAGAGGGGTGAAGGTGTTTCGGATGGTTTGGGAAAGATGGGTCCCACCTTGTTAAAGCATATTATGGTCCTCCACCTGTGTGAACATGCACCCTTTTGAGTCGACTCAAAAGCCACCTGTGTGAACATGCACCCTTTTGAGTCGACTCAAAAGCCACCTGTGTGAACATGCACCCTTTTGAGTCGACTCAAAAGCCACCTGTGTGAACATGCACCCTTTTGAGTCGACTCAAAAGCCACCTGTGTGAACATGCACCCTTTTGAGTCGACTCAAAAGCCACCTGTGTGAACATGCACCCTTTTGAGTCGACTCAAAAGCCACCTGTGTGAACATGCACCCTTTTGAGTCGACTCAAAAGCCACCTGTGTGAACATGCACCCTTTTGAGTCGACTCAAAAGCCACCTGTGTGAACATGCACCCTTTTGAGTCGACTCAAAAGCCACCTGTGTGAACATGCACCCACACTCCCTTCTCTTCTCAGCCTCCCTCCTCCCTCCCTCCCACACTTATGTGTGAGACGCCATTTTCTTAGGCATCTAAGAACCTTCCTGTTCTTCCTCCTCCCACAGTGATTGACGATGCGATGTGTGAGGCACGACTATGGGCCATGCGGGCAGGGGGAGCGACGGATTTCTACATGTGCGAAGTGAGCCGCGACGTGGTCATTGATGCCACCTTCCGTGGGGGGCACGGCCGCTTCGTCAACCACAGCTGCGCTCCCAACGCCGAGCTGCAGAAGTGGTGAGAGAGAGAGAGAGAGCAGACTTGTGATGAGAGAATCCAGAATACTGGTGTGATGGAGTGCCTTGAACTCACTGGAAAGCATTGTCAACCACAGCTGCGCTCCCAACGCCGAGCTGCAGAAATGGTGAGAGAGAGGAGAATGGTGGAGAATAGGCAGAGTGAGATACAGACGAGTGGTGAGAGAATTTATAAGCCCTCTGTCCTCTTGGCTTCTGTCCTCTTGGCTTCTGTCCTCTTGGCTTCTGTCCTCTTGGCTTCTGTCCTCTTGGCTTCTGTCCTCTTGGCTTCTGTCCTCTTGGCTTCTGTCCTCTTGGCTTCTGTCCTCTTGGCTTCTGTCCTCTTGGTCTCCCCTGTTCTGGCTGGTAACGGGGCATGCGAGAGTGGGCATTTTTGCCATCCAGGACCAACCCTGCATACTGCCCACCCATCTCCAGGGCATGTACAAGCGGGCAATTTCTGCCATTTAGTAGCAACTCTGCCTACTTTCACGTCTGCATGCATGTTTGCACGTGTCTTCCCCGTCCAGGCTAGTGGAGGGGCATGTGCGGGTGGGCATTTTTTGAGTCGACTCAAAACTAGGCATGTTTCCCGTCTCTACCTCTCCCATCCAGGCTAGTGGAGGGGCATGTGCGGGTGGGCATTTTCGCCATCAAGGACATTGCAGTGGGCACAGAAGTGGCGTATGATTACAGGTGCTGTGATTGGGTGGCTGGGTGGGTGGGTGGGTGGCTGGCTGGCTGTTTGGGTGGGCAGGTGGGTGGGCAGGTAGGTGGGTGCGTGCGAGTGAGTGTGTGCGAGTGAGTGGAGGGGCATGTGCGGGTGGGCATTTTCGCCATCAAGGACATTGCAGTGGGCACAGGTGGGCACAGAAGTGGTGTATGATTACAGGTGCTGTGATTGGGTGGCTGGGTGGGTTGGTGGGCGGGTGGTTGGGATGCTGGTATTCAAACATCAATCTGTGAGAAGCCATGCTCACACCTTCATACAGTATGTTCCCGCCTCTCATCCCATTCCCCCTTGAGCACTCTAACAGTGCTTTTGAGTCGACACTCAAATGCATTCCCCCTTGAGCACTCTAACAGTGCTTTTGAGTCGACACTCAAATGCATTCCCCCTTGAGCACTCTAACAATGCTTTTGAGTCGACACTCAAATGCATTCCCCCTTGAGCACTCTAACAGTGCTTTTGAGTCGACACGCAAATGCATTCCCCCTTGAGCACTCTAACAGTGCTTTTGAGTCGACACTCAAATGCATTCCCCCTTGAGCACTCTAACAGTGCTCGCACAGCTTTTTGGGCATCACTTGTGAGAATCCTCAAAAGTCAATGTTTCCATGAGAATTCGAGAATCCTCAAAGGTCAATGTTTCCATGAGAATTTGAGAATCCTCAAAGGTCAATGTTTCCATGAGAATTCGAGAATCCTCAAAGGTCAATGTTTCCATGAGAATTTGAGAATCCTCAAAGGTCAATGTTTCCATGAGAATTTGAGAATCCTCAAAGGTCAATGTTTCCATGAGAATTTGAGAATCCTCAAAGGTCAATGTTTCCATGAGAATTTGAGAATCCTCAAAGGTCAATGTTTCCATGAGAATTCGAGAATCCTCAAAGGTCAATGTTTCCATGAGAATCTGAGAATCCTCATAGGTCAATGTTTCCATGAGAATCTGAGAATCCTCAAAGGTCAATGTTTCCATGAGAATCTGAGAATCCTCAAAGGTCAATGTTTCCATGAGAATCTGAGAATCCTCAAAGGTCAATGTTTCCATGAGAATTCGAGAATCCTCAAAGGTCAATGTTTCCATGAGAATCTGAGAATCCTCAAAGGTCAATGTTTCCATGAGAATTTGAGAATCCTCAAAGGTCAATGTTTCCATGAGAATCTGAGAATCCTCAAAGGTCAATGTTTCCATGAGAATCTGAGAATCCTCAAAGGTCAATGTTTCCATGAGAATCTGAGAATCCTCAAAGGTCAATGTTTCCATGAGAATCTGAGAATCCTCAAAGGTCAATGTTTGCATGAGAATCTGAGAATCCTCAAAGGTCAATGTTTCCATGAGAATCTGAGAATCCTCAAAGGTCAATGTTTCCATGAGAATCTGAGAATCCTCAAAGGTCAATGTTTCCATGAGAATCTGAGAATCCTCAAAGGTCAATGTTTCCATGAGAATTTGAGAATCCTCAAAGGTCAATGTTTCCATGAGAATCTGAGAATCCTCAAAGGTCAATGTTTCCATGAGAATCTGAGAATCCTCAAAGGTCAATGTTTCCATGAGAATCTGAGAATCCTCAAAGGTCAATGTTTCCATGAGAATCTGAGAATCCTCAAAGGTCAATGTTTGCATGAGAATCTGAGAATCCTCAAAGGTCAATGTTTCCATGAGAATCTGAGAATCCTCAAAGGTCAATGTTTCCATGAGAATCTGAGAATCCTCCAAGGTCAATGTTTTCATGAGGAGTCATTCACACCTTTTCTCACCTCTCTCACCCCATTCCCCCTTGAGCACTCTTGCGGGGTTCACACAGATTTGTGAGCTTCTTTTAAGTCGACTCTTGAGTCAACTTTTGATTCGACTCAAAAGTTCACACCTTTTCTCACCTCTCACCCCATTCCTCATCGAACACTCTTGCGCTGTTCACACAGATTTGTGAGCTTCGGCCCGAACAAAGCTTGCCAGTGCGGTGCAGAGCGGTGCCGCAGAGTTATCGGGGCCAACCCTCCAACCACAGCAACAGCCACACCTGCCGCACCTGTGCCTGCCAAACCAGAGGGGCAGGCTGGGACCGTACCTAGGGCAAATCCCTGGAATAAAGCGGCAGGGGAAGGGGCAGGGACAAGAACAAAGGGGTTGCTTTGGGGCACAAGGGGTGCGAGATCAAGACGTATGTTGACGCATCTGTCTCCCCCCTGGTGGCAGCAGCACCAGCAGCAGTGGCTACTACACCACCTCGTAACGTGATCGCTACATTCTTTCAATATTTCTTGCGAAGTATGGTTACAATTCAATTTGTTTCTGGAAAGGATCCCTTCCTTAATAAAGTCAGTGTTGCTGGCAGTGCACACAGTTCAGTACAGTACCACGACATGACATTAGGTGTAGAGTATTCAGGACTCCCGTCCTCTCCCGAAACACTTCATCTGGCTAGGCTTCGCCATCAGCTAAAAATGGTCCCTTTTTTTCTGGGTGAAGGACCCTACTTGGGTTAAGTCATTATCACACAAAGGATACAAACGATAAGAAATTAGAGCACGAGTTAGTTAGTTCCTACAGTATCCTAGGTGAAACTGCTGTCACCCCAGCCAGCACGTAAACAAAAGAGTTAGTTGCATTGAATGCGTTTTTAGCAGCGCTGAAGAGCTAACAGGGCTGCTGAACTCATTCATGATTGATGCGTCATCACATCATCATGCTTCAAACCAGAATGCTGCCGGTGCGGCTGCTGGTGGTAGTGGCGGTGGTGGTGATGCTGGTGGTTGTTGTAGTGGGTACTCCCATGTTGCTTCACGAATGGCGATGTGCTTCAGCCGTGGTAGGCCGGCAGGCCGGCAGGCTGGCCAAAAAGCAGCCCATTATTCCCTGCTCTCTCCCCCTTCCCCCACCCCCCTCCCCCTCCTGCTCCCCCCCACCTTGCAGCTTCTAGCACTGCTAATGCTACTTGCCCCAGAGGTTCTCCAGCCATCCTCCTTTCTTTGCTGACTTGGGGGGCGATGCAGATGCGTCAGCTGCACTCGTTGGTTCCTGTGCTGCTGGCGGTGGTGCTCGGGCCTCTGCTGCCTCTGGGCATGGGAGACAGGAACAGGGGGGGAGGGAGGGAGGAGGGGAGAGAGAGAGAAATCAGAGACGTCTCAAAAGGGATGTGAGGACGAGGAAGAGAGAGCGACAGCTGGTGGCCACATGTCGCCTAGATGGACAAGTGAATTTTTGAGACGTCTCTAAAATTCACTTTATACATACAGCTGGTGGCCACATGTCGCCTAGATGGACAAGTGCGGAAAAAAACACGCGTTGAAGTCAGCACTATGACCCTCCCCATGAGCCATTGCCCGTTCCCCCCACATGAGCCATGCCCCTTCCCCCACATGAGCCATGCCACTATCCAGCCATGGGAGGATAATATCCACACACCTAGAGCTACCATCACCCTCCCATCAGCCATGACCATCTCATGAGCCATCCATGAGCCAGCATGTTACCTTCAGCTGTCATGCACATCCATCCATACTGCACCCACCCACCCACCTCACCCCACCACACCATCACCATCCCCCAGTCATGTCACTCACCCACATGCCACCCATCTATACTGCACCCACCCCACCCCATCACACCACCACCACTATCCAGTCATGCCACTCACCCATGCTTCGATCCTCCTCTTGTCTCATACTTTGCCCCTCCTCTCGTCTCTCCATGCTAGCTGGTTGACTCCGCTCCTCGTCCGTCTCCCAAACTGGCCCTCCCACTCCCGTCCCTCCTCTCTCTCCCCCCACTCCTCCTCCCACTCCTCCTCCTCCCACTCCTCCTCCTCCCTCTCCTCCGCTCTCTCCCTCCCTTTGCCCTTCACTCTGGCCGCTGTCACTAGGAGACCGCACAGGGGCTAATTTCCCCCCGTAATTCCCACTCCCACTGACCTGACTCCCCATATTCCCACTCCCCATATTCCCACTCCCAAGCCCTCCACTCATCCCCCCACTTCCTAGCCTGCTTCCCAAGCCGCCCCCACTTCCTAGTCTGCCGCCCAGCCCACTCCCCCCAGCGCCATGTAACATCGCGCCATGGTTACCACTCCCGCCATATGCACTGCTGCCGTACCCCTCACTCCCATAGTTCCCACTACCCAACGCATGCCCCTTGGCATAATTCCCACTCCCATACACTTCACTCCCGTAATTCCCACTCCCATACGCCTCCTCTCCCCTATAATTCCCATTCCCTTGCTCCCCCCCAAGATTACTCCTCCCCAGCCTCCCCCCATAATCCCCTCCCCCTCCCACACCACCGCCCCCGTAGTTCCCGCTCCCTAACCTCCCTCCGAAGCTCCCGCTCCCATACGCCCCACTACCAGTGGCGCCAGAACTGCCGGCTAGCCGGCTAGCTGCCGGCTGAACGTCCTCCTGGAAGGAAACCTGCCGGCTGCTGCGGCCGGAGGTGCGGGGAGGGAAGGCAGAGGGGCCAGTGGCAGTGCTGGTGTGGGTCTTGAGACTGGGGTGCAGAGGAGGGTGGTGGGACTGCTGCTGCTGGTGATGCTGCTGCTGCTGCTGGTGTCTGTATAAGGGTGGGAGGGCGCTGTGTGTGTTGAACTGATCTACGCTGTCCTCCTCTTCTTCCTCCTCCTCTCCCTCCTCTTCCTCTTCCTCCTCTTCCTCTTCCTCTTCCTCCCCTTCCCCCTCGGTTCCCTCCTCTGTTTCTTCCTCTTCTTCCTCTTCCTCTTCTTCCTCCTCCTCCTCGTCCTCCTCATCCTCCTCCTCTTCCTCCTCATCCTCCTCCTCCTCTTCCTCCTCTTCCTCCTCCTCTTCCTCCTCCTCTTCCTCCTCTTCCTCTTCCTCCTCTTCCCCAGTTTCTTCTGTCTCGCCAGTCATACCTGTTTCCTCTGTTTCCCCAGAGCCTTCCGTTTCCTCGGTTTCCTCTTCTGTTTCTCCCTCTGTTTCTCCCTCTGTTTCTCCTTCTGTCTCTCCCTCTGTCTCTTCTGCCTCCCCAGTCACCTCCTCACTCCCTTCCTCTGTCACTTCCTCTGTTCCCTCCTCCTCACTTCCCTCCTCACTCCCTTCCTCTGTCACTTCCTCTGTCACTTCCTCTGTTCCCTCCTCCTCACTCCCCTCCTCACTCCCTTCCTCTGTCACTTCTTCTGTCACTTCCTCTGTTCCCTCCTCACTCCCCTCCTCACTCCCCTCCTCACTCTCCTCCTCTTCCCCCTCACCAGTCTCACCAGTTACTTCTGTTCCATGGCTTCTCCAGCTCTCTCCTTGCACACCTCCTTCCCCAATCCCTCTACCCCCTTCTTGCTCCTCCCGAGCCTCTAGCCTCGGCTCGAGGCTCAGCTCCGGAACAAGGTCCGGGCGCCCATGCCTGTTGTGCCCTTCCCCCCCTCTCACTCCATCTCCCTTTCCCCCTTCAGCCTCCCTGTGTCCACCACCCCCCACTCCCGCGCTCCCTTCTCGCCCCTCACCCGAACCTGCATTTCCCGAATCTGCAGCGCCTGCACCCGAACCTGCCGCCGGACCTGCACCGCTCGCAGAACTTGTCCCTCCTTTTTGGCTCCTCGACCCGGCGTCGAGCCAAGAAAACCCACCGTACAACGCCGGACCTGGAGCCAACTTTTGAGGCTCGGCTTTTACCCGAGGCAAAGGAGAGGATCGGTAAGGCAGGTATCCTGAGCTGTGGTCACTCAAATCCAAATAACTCCCCTCATACCTCCCACTGAAGCCACTCCTTTTGCTGCTGCCCCTGCCGCTGCTGCCGATACTGGCCCCACTTGCAACACTCACCCCATCCCCGTCCCCACCATTATCCTCTTCATTATCTTCCTCGTTATCCCCTTCAGTGTACCCACTCGCACTGCTGCCGCTCCTGCTCAGCCTCCCGCTGCTACCCCGATCCAGCCCTTCCAAACCTGGCGAGTTGCCTCGGGAATTGCCTCGGGAGTCGCCTTGGGAGTTGCCTTGGGAATTCCCCTGCGAGCCCCCTGAACTGCGGGGCGTGTGAGGAGTGGACGAACCTGCAGCTTGCTGCCACTCCAGAATCCGCTGCTGTATCGCATTCAACCCCCCCGCACCGTCTGCACCATTACCAGCACCCGCAGCAACACCCACACCTGCAGCAGCAGCGGCAACACCCTCAGGATCAGGCTCAGCTCTGCTACTACTATGACCATTCACCCCACTCCCTCCCGGCCACTCCTTAGTATTAACCCTACTGGTATGCGGACTAGCATGCCGGCTAGGGTGGGGACTCGCATGTCTGCTCGGGTGGGGACTAACATGTGGGCTGGCCCGCGGGCTAGGCCCAACCCCTCTCTCCCCAGCGGGTCTTAGCGCTGCCTTCCAGTCAACTGTGTTCTGCCGGCTGTTGCTCTCCGGCTGACTGCTAGCCGGCGGGCCTGCCGGCCGCAGGTGCGCGCGCCAGTTCGGATCGCTCTGCTCCGTGCTCCCAGTGGCCAGCCGCGCGGAAGAGTCAATGTGTCTCAGAGGCACGGACGGGGCTTCTAGTGGCATAACCACCGCCCCTCCTCCTGCTCCTGCGCCTCCTGTTTGGTGCAAAGACGGCCATTCTTGGGTGTTCTGCCTGCTGCCTGGTCGGCTGCTGGGTCTGCTTCCCGCCTGCTGCTGCTTCTGGATTGAAGCGGGTGTGGGCCACTCTTGAGTGTTCTGCCTGCTGCCCTGCCTGCTCCCCTGCGGCTGCGGCTGAGCCGGCACAGGAGCTGGCCATTCTTGAGTGTTTTGCCTGCTGCCTGCTCTGCTCCCCTGCTGCTGTTGCTGCTGTTGGACCGACTGAGGAGTGGGCCACTCTTGGGTGTTCTGCCTACTGCCTGCTCTGCTCCCCTGCTGCTGTTGGACCGACTGAGGGGCAGGCCATTCGTTTGTGTTCTGCCTGCTGCCCCGCCTGCTCCCACCCCACATACCCCCGCCATCACCAGCAGCACCGCCAGCTCCCATCTCGCGGTTGAAGCTCCCTGCTTGCTGCATGCGAATAGCAGCAGCAGAGGCCCCACCGCCTGCCGCCGCCACCACCGCTGCTGCTGCTGCGATCGCAGCGTACCCCGCCTCTCTCCCTCCTCCCTCCTCTCCCTCTGTGCTGCTTCCCTCTGCCTCCGTCTCTCCCTCCGTCTCTCCCTCTGTCTCTTCTTGTGACGAGCCCTGTTCTCCTCCCTCGCCTGTGTCCTGCTCTCTGCTACTCTCTTCCTTCAGGGGCACCACACTGATCGATCCATCCTCCTCCTCGTCCTCCTCTTCTTCCTCGTCCTCTTCCTCTTCCTCCTCTTCCTCCTCTTCCTCCTCCTCCTCCTCCTCCTCCTCCTCCTCCTCCTCCTCCTCCTCCTCCTCCTCCTCCTCCTCCTCCTCCTCCTCCTCCTCCTCCTCCTCCTCCTCCTCCTCCTCCTCCTCTTCCTCCTCTTCCTCCTCTGTCACTTCCTCCTCTTCTTCCTCTTCCTCCCCTTCCTCCTCTGTCACTTCCTCCTCTTCTTCCTCTTCCTCCCCTTCACCTTCTGTTCCCTCCTCTGTTTCTTCCTCTTCCTCCCCTTCCCCCTCTGTTCCCTCCTCTGTTTCTTCCTCTTCTTCCCCCTCCTCTTCCTCCCCTTCCCCCTCTGTTCCCTCTGTTTCTTCCTCTTCCTCCTCTTCCCCCCCTTCCCCTTCTGTCCCCTCCTCTGTTTCTTCCTCCTCCTCCTCCTCCTCCTCTTCCTCCCCTTCCCCCTCTGTCCCCTCCTCTGTTTCTTCCTCTTCCTCCTCTCCCTCCGTCTCCTCCTCCGTCTCTTCCTCTCCCTCTCCCACCCACCCCTCCCCACCCTCCCCAGCACCTGGAACCCCATCATAGCTCCCCTCACTCTCCTCCGTCTCTCCTTCTGTCTCCGTTACCATCTGACCCACTTCATCATACAAGGCAAGTTGGGATTCAGTCATAGAGGTAACATCATCATCAATCGTTTGCTCCTCGCCTATAGTGTGAACCGTCACCTCCCCCTCGCCCCCTTCCTCCTCCCCACCATAGTATGACGCCCCTTGATCCTCTTCTGTCCCTTCCTCCTCCTCTTCTTCATCCTCCTCCTCTTCCTCCTCCTCCTCCTCCTCCTCTTCCTCCTCCTCCTCCTCTTCTTCCTCCTCCTCCTCCCCCTCCCCTGTTCCTTCAGTCACTTCTGTCTCTTCAGTCTCTTCAGTCACCTCTTCCCCTGTCACTTCTTCTGTCACCTCCTCTTCTGTCACCTCCTCTTCTGTCACCTCCTCCCCTGTCACCTCCTCTTCTGTTACCTCTTCCCCTGTCACCTCTTCTTCTGTCACCTCCGTTCCTTCCTCTGTTGCTTCTTCGGTCCCATACCCTTCCTCCTCTCCCTCCTCCTCTTCCTCCTCCTCCTCCTCCTCCTCCTCCTCCTCCTCCTCCTCCTCCTCCTCCTCCTCCTCCTCCTCCTCCTCCTCCTCCTCCTCCTCCTCCTCCTCCTCCTCCTCCTCATATTCCTCCTCTTCTGTCTCTTGGGTTATTTCCTCCTCTGTTCCCTCCACTGTCTCTTCCTCCTCTTCCTCTTCCTCCTCATAATCCTCAGTCACTTCCGTCCCCTCTTCTTCCTCCTCTTCCTCTTCCTCCTCATATTCCTCAGTCATTTCCGTTTCCTCAGTCCCCTCCTCCTCCTCTTCCTCCTCTCCCTCCCCTTCCTCCTCATAATCCTCTGTCACTTCAGTGACTTCTGTTCCCTCCTCCTCCTCCTCCTCCTCCTCCTCCTCCTCCTCCCCTTCCTCTTCCTCTTCCTCCTCCTCCTCATCCTCTCCCTCGCCTTCCTCCTCATAATCCTCTGTCATTTCAGTGACTTCTGTTCCCTCCTCCTCTTCCTCCTCCTCTTCCTCCTCCTCCTCCTCCTCTTCTTCCTCCTCGTAATCCTTCGTCGTTTCTTCTGTCCCTGTGACCTCTTCTGTCCCTGTGACCTCCTCCGTCCCTGTCACTTCTTCGGTCCCTGTAACCTCCTCTGTCCCAGTTACCTCCTCCGTAACTTCTTCTGTACCCTCCTCTGTCTCTGTATACTCCTCATCCTCTTCCTCCTGTTCTTCCTCTTCCTCCTCCTCATCCTCCTCTTCTTCCTCCTCTTCCTCCTCATCCTCCTCTTCTTCCTCTTCCTCCTCCTCATCCTCATCCTCCTCTTCTTCCTCCTCTTCCTCCTCATCCTCCTCCTCTTCTTCCTCCTCCTCCTCATCCTCCTCCTCATCCTCCTCCTCCTCCTCATCCTCCTCTTCATCCTCCTCCTCATCCTCCTCCTCTTCATCCTCCTCCTCTTCAGTCTCCTCCTCAATAACCTCAGCAGTCACAACGCCGCTATTCCCCTCACCATCCCCCCATCCCGCGCCACCATAAACACCCGAAGCAGACGACGAAACCACCGCAGCCGAAACAGCAGAGCCAGACGACACCCCCTCGTCAAAACTCACTTCCTTCCTCCTCCTACCACCACCCGCTGCAGCAACTCCCATTTGCTGCTGCTGCTGCTGCTGCTGCATTTGACCACTCGTTTGCTCCCCTGACGTCAACACTTCACCTACAGGAACATCATCCTCCTCCTCCTCCTCACTCGATGCAAACGACCATTCTCTCTCACTCCCCTCCCTCTCCCCCTCCCCTCCTCTGCCTCTCCCTCCTTCCTGTCGCAAACCGCCTCCTGCCTGCTCCTCCTGCTTTCGCCTCTCCTCCTCCTCCTGCCGTTGCTGCTGCTGCCGTTGCCGTGCCATCTCAACAGCAGCCGCAGCTGATATAGACGAAGCCATGATTGCACTAGTCAAAGCATCATTTGCCCCCATGCCTCTTTCCCCTCCATCCGCACCCCCCATCATCCTATCCCCGCTAGGAGTAACACTCCTCTCAGCACTTAACAAAGTGTCGGTATTTCTTGATTCAACCTCTGACTCGTCCGGGCTCGACCAATCAGCAGAGCTCCGGGATGCAGTGGTGCTAGCACTGGTCGGCCGGCCCCGAGCCAAGGCCGCAGGCGTGCCTGCCGAACCTACGGCTCCCGGGCCTAGCGGCGGACGGCGCGAACCCCAACCACTTGCCGAACCTGCCCCTCCTCCTGCCGCCCCTGCCGCTCCTGCCACCCCTGCCACCCCTGCTGCTGCAGCAGCACTGGCAGAAGCACCGGTACCCTCACCCCCCTCTCCACCACCATCACCCCCTTCACTATCATATGCTGTTGCATATGACTCATCCCTCCCAAACCTCACACTCCTCCCCCCTTCAGGCGCCGTGGCCCAAGACTCGTCCCTCTCAAACCCCATGCTCCTCCCCTCCTCCGCCCCTTCTCCCCCACCCCCACTACCGCTGCCACTGGCTATAGCAGCACCAGCAGCGGCACCAGCACGAGCAGGAATCGGCCGGAGGGGAAAGGAGGGTGCTTCAGAGGACATTGGGAAGGCACCAGCAGGAGCGGGCGCGGGTGTGGGTCGGAGGGGGAAGGAGGGGGAGGCGGAGGGGCCAGGGGGAGGGGGGAGGGCGGTAGGGGGAAGGGCGGAGAGGCGGGGGTCAATGGGTGGGGGAGGGAGGGGGGATGGACCCATAGGTCCTCCTGGCAAAGAGTCCTCCTTGCTATCAGCATCCTTGCTGTTGTCTCTCCAGCTGCCACCGCTGCTGCTGCTGGGTCCTCCTACCCCTCCTGGCCCCCCTGTACCGTGCACAACCACTTGTATCCGCCCTGATGGGGATGCTGGTGGTGACGGTTCCTTCTTCTCGCCCTGCTGCTGCTGCTGCTGCTGCTGCTGCTTCTCCTGCTGCTGCTGCTTCTCCTGCTCCTGCTCTTGCTGTGTCTGCTTCTGTCCCCATCGGAAAGGCATGAGCGCGAAAGCACCCACAGCTGCGGCTGCTGCTGCGAATCCCTCAGCCACACTCATCCCTCCCGCTCCTGCCGCTCCTCCTCCTGCTTCTGCTGCTCCTGCTGTGCCTGCTCCTTCCGCTGCTCCTGCTGCCATGGCAGGTGGTGGGGTCAACGCTGCTGAAGTGGAAGCAGCAGCACCACTGGCAGAAGCAGCAGCACCACTGGCAGAAGCACCACTGGCAGCAAAACCACCCACTGCCCCCCCCACTGCTGCTCCTCCTGCTGCTGCCCCTCCTGCTGCTGCGGCTCCTGCTCCTCCTGCTGGTGCTCCTGCCGCTCCTGGTGCTACCCCTCCCGCTGCCCCTGATTGCACAGCACCACTATCCCCGCTATAAGCCTCTGCTTCTACAACATCATCATCATCACCCTCGCTCCTCTCATCCTCACTCTCCTCCTCGCCCTCCCCTTCAGACCCTATCTCAACTATCGTTTCATGCATCACCGGTCGGCTTCTCAACCCCCCTGCTGCTGCTCCTGCTGCCGCTCCCACTGCAACCCCTGCTGCTACACCAGCAGCAGCAGGGGAATCAGCAGCAGGAGTGGCGGGCGTGGGTGGAGGGGGAGGAAGCTGGGGCGGAGTCTGTTGGTAGGGAAACAAAGGAGGCAGGGAGATGAGAATGAGAATGAGAATGACTGAAGCAGTAGCTGAGTGACTTGCGTGAAGCATTGTCGTTATCGTCACAAAACGCCTATAACTCACCCCTCCAAGTTTTGGAGGAGCCAGCAACTGTCATTGCTCTCTCATATGGTTCTTAAACACTTCTCTATAACTCAAGCCTCCAAGGCCTGTCACTCACCCGTCCAAGGTTCCTCCCTCCTCTGGTCATCTGACTCCGTATCAACATCAACATCATCAGATGTTGGCAGCGCCATCGGCACTTCGTCCGACTCCTCTGCCGTTGTTCGAGTCGACTCAAAACCACATGAGTGTAACTCACCCGTCCAAGACCTTAAACTCACCCGTCCAAGACCTTAAACTCACCCGTCCAAGACCTTGAACTCACCCGTCCAAGGTTCCTCCCTCCTCTGGTCATCTGACTCCGTATCAACATCAACATCATCAGATGTTGGCAGCGCCATCGGCACTTCGTCCGACTCCTCTGCCGTTGTTCGAGTCGACTCAAAACCACATGAGTGTAACTCACCCGTCCAAGACCTTAAACTCACCCGTCCAAGACCTTAAACTCACCCGTCCAAGACCTTGAACTCACCCGTCCAAGGTTCCTCCTCTGGTCGTCTGACTCCGTATCAACATCATCAGAAGACGTTGGCAGTGCCATCGGCACTTCATCCGACTCCTCCGCCGTCTCCTCCCCTCCTCCTCTCCCACTCCCTCCTCTCCCACTCCTCCCACCCCTCCCCACCTTCTCACTACTCTCCTCCTCCCGAGTGCTGTACCCCTCCCCTTCCTCCCCGACCTCCACACTCGTATACTCCTGACTCTCCCCCACAGGCAGCGCCATCACCACCTCCTCCCCGCTCTCTCCTACTGCACCGCTCTCCGTTTTCCTCCCCCTCTCCCCCCCACCAGTGCTGGCACCAGCAGGCGTGGAGGGACCGGCACCAGCAGCAGCAGCAGCCCGATCAGCTGCCTGCTCGATGCGGCGTCGCAGGGGCGAGTCGCTGCCGCCACTGACAGGCTTGGAGCGACTTGAATCGTACGGGCCGGACCTGGAGGATGGGTGGTGGGTAAGGGAAGATGCGAGGGGAGAAGGAGAGAGGTGGAAGTGAGGGGAGAGTCGGTGCCGCCACTGATGGGCTTGGAGCGACTCGAATTATACTGGCCAGACCTGGAAAAAGGGGAGGGTAGAGAAGACGTGAGGAAAGGAGCTGAAGTGGGGGTAGAGGGGCCAACACCAGCAGTGCTGGCAGCAGCAGGGGTGGAAGGGGGGACACCACCAGCAGCAGCAGCAGCAGCCCGAGAAGGAGGAACTGACCTGGGTGGCATGGCAGGGAGGAACTGACCTGGGAGGCATGGCACCGAATCCAGCCATGTGCATGCGAGTGTTGGAATCCATCTCCTCTGAATACAACTATGAGACGCCTCACAACCCTGCACTCTCTCTCCTCCTCCGCTTCCGAACCTGAGTCGCTCCTGAGAAATTCCAACACCAAGAAAGAGCTGACCTGGCTGGGGGCAAGGAGGAGGAGGAGGAGGAGGAGGAGGAGGAGGAGGAGGAGGAGGAGGAGGAGGAGGAGGAGGAGGAGGAGGAGGAGGAGGAGGAGGAGGAGGAGGAGGAGGAGGAGGAGGAGGAGGAGGAGGAGGAGGAGGAGGAGGAGGCAGGGAAGAGCTGACCTGGCTGGTGGCAAGGAGGAGGAACTGACCTGGGAGGCATGGCGCCGAATCCAGCCATGTGCATGCGGGTGTTGGAATCCATCTCCTCTGAATACAACACCGCACTCTCCTCCTCTTCCTCCTCCTCCTCGTCCCTCTCCTCCGTCTGTTCCGTCTGCTCGCCTGTTTCCCCCCCAGCCCCCCCTGCTTCTCGGGATGAGAAGGACGCAGAGGTAGGCTGCGCTGCTGCAGCAGAACCACCCGCTGCTGCTGCTGCTGCTGCTGCTGTGCCGACGGCTATGGCTGCAGCACCAGCAGCAGCGCCACCAGCAGCAGCGCCACCCGCAGCAGCGCCACCAGCAGAAGCAGCGGGAGGAGCGGCAGGGGCAGCACTCCCAGTGTCGAGGGCAGAAGCAGTGGTGTCGGGGAATTCGAGGGAGGGCGGGTTGGCGAGGGGGTTGGTGATGTAGATGCGAGGGGAGGAGCCCGCTGACCCGCCGTGCTTCATGCAGTAGGGATCCGCACAGCTGGAGCCACTGTGGTGGGGGAGAGAGAATGAGGGGGGAGCAGCCAGAGAGTGGGGTCAAGGAGGGTAGCAGCTTTGTGACTCGCCGTGCTTCATGCGGTAGGGATCCGCACAGCTGCAGCCTCTGTGGTGGGAAGAAGGGGGGGAGAGAGGAGCGGAAACGGTAGGTGAAACGAAGTTGGAGGGGGTGAGGGGTGGAGAAAGGGGGGGAAACAGGAGGGGGGGAAGGGATAATGGGAAGGAGGTCAACCCATACCCTCACTCACCCATGCGCTCCCTCATTCTCTCCCTCAGACACTCACTCGCTCACACCCCCCCTCACGCACACACACTCACCCGCACAGGAGCCCACGTCGCAAGCTGCTCTCCTCCTCGTCCTCCTGATTAGTCAAATACCGAACCAGCAGGAGGCTGACCGGGTATGCCACCGGGGACAGTAGGAGCAGCAGCAGGCGGGCGGGCCATGCGGTGGCAGAGGCGATACGGAGGGTGTGTGGCTGACCCTCCTTCTCCCTCTCCCACTCCCTCTCCCTCTCCCACTCCCTCTCCCTCTCCCACTCCCTCTCCCTCTCCCACTCCTTCTCCCTCTCCTTTTCCTTCTCCCTCTCCTTTTCCTTCTCCCTCTCCCACTCCCTCCTCCCTCTCCCACTCCCTCTCCCTCTCCTTTTCCTTCTCCCTCTCCCACTCCCTCTCCCTCTCACTCACTCCCACACACTCACACCCACACACAAGAAAACTTACCCGCACAGGAGCCCGCGTCTCAGGCTGCTCTCCTCCTCATCTTCTTGATTGTTCAAATACCGGACCAGCAGCAGGCTGACCAGGTAAGCCACCGGGGACAGTAGGAGCAGCAGCAGGCGGGCGAGCCATGCGGTGGCGGAGGCGATGCGCAGGGAGTGTGGCACTTACTGATTCCTCTCTTTCGAACGATCCTTTGTATTAGGCCCTCTTCCAATCACACAGAAGCACACACACTCACCCGCACAGGAGCCCGCGTCGCAAGCTGCTCTCTTCCTCATCTTCTTGATTGTTCAAGTACCGGTCCAGCAGCAGGCTGACCGGGTAAGCCACTGGAGAGAGCAGCAGCAGCAGCAGGCGGGCGAGCCACGCGGTGGCGGAGGCGATGCGCAGGGAGTGGCGCGCACAGATGGCGGGGGGAGCGATTTCGACGAAGAGGAGGATGAGGAGCACGCAGAGGACGAATCCCATCACCATGCCCAACACACCTGGGAGGAACGGGAAGGGTTGGGTGGAGAGGAGTAGGGAGGGGTGAAGTGGGGTGAAATGAATGAGAGGAGCGATTCCCACAAAGAGGAGGATGAGGAGCACGCAGAGGACGAATCCCATCACCATGCCCAACACACCTGGGAGGAACAACAGGATGGAGCAGGGGATGGGAGGGAGTAGTGGGGTGGAGAGCGGTGGAAGAGGGTGGGAGGGATGAAATAGCTGGTCTCCACGACGAGCAGGATGAGCAGCACGCAGAGGGTGGAGAGTGGAGCAGGGGAGGAGTGTGGTAGGGAGGGGTGGGGAGCAGTGGACCGGGGTGAGATGCATGTGAAGAGGAGGATGACCCCACCTGAACCCACCTGACCCGACCTGACCCGACCTGAGCCCACCTGAGCCCACCTGAGACCCATCTGACCCCACCAGCGTCCCACCTGACGCCACCTGACCCCACCTGATGCCACCTCAGCCCCACCAAGGTCCCACCTGAGACCCATCTGAGACCCATCGAGACCCACCTGAGACAAAGAGCGTGAAGCTGACGTTGACACTGGTGCTGGCGACCAATAGCGTGGTGAGCAGCAGGCTGCCACGTGTGCGCAGCGCTGCCACCTTGGCAGCCTGCCACCTCAGCCGCTCGTCCACGCCATCCATTGCCGCCTGCTCGCGGAGGGGGAGAGGGGGGAGGTTGGGGAAGGTGGGTGGGGGAGAAGCGGGTGGGGTGGGTGGGAGGTGCTTTTAGGGTCGACTCAGCAGCCACCCCAGCCGCTCGTCCACGCCATCCATTGCCGCCTGCTCTAAAGAGAGGGGGGGGGGGGGGGGGTTTGGGAGGGAGGGAGGGGGGGGAGAGGAGGTGGGGGGAAAGTTGGGGGAGGTGGGTGTGGGGGGGGAGGGAGAGGGAAGGTGGGCGGGGTCGGCTCAGCAGCCACCCCAGCCGCTCGTCCACGCCATCCATTGCCGCCTGCTCCAAAAGGTGGGGAGGGGGGGAGGGCGAGGGGGGGGTTGTTTGTGGGGTTGGGGGGGGGGGGGGAAGGGGAGGGGTCTGGTTACCAGTAGCGGGGGTTACCTGCAACGTGGCCATGTCAAGCCCGAGGGTAGACGACATCATGCAGGAGATCACGAGCGACATGCCCAGCAGGCAGCACGCGGAGATGGGGAACGCGATGAGCTCAGCGGTGGAGAGCGGTGGGAGCCAGCCGGAGTCGGCGTAGCAGGAGTCGTAGCAGTCGATGGTGGGCCCGTCGCACGCGTTCAGACACGCCACAATGCCGTTGCTCGGCGCGCACGCCCCCAGCCGCGCCAACGGCGCCCAGCAACTCATGCTGCTGCTGCTGCTGTTGCTGCTGCTGCTGCTGCTGCTGCTGTTGTTGTGATCCCTCCGTTCCTCTCCCTGCTACTGCCACTGTATCTACTCCTTCCTTACTCCTGCTGCTGCTGCTGTTCCTCCTCTTCCTCTTCCTCCTCCTCCTCCTCCTCCTCCTCCTCCTCCTCCTCCTCCTCCTCCTCCTCCTGCTGCTGCTTCTGCTGCTGCTGCTGCTGCTGCTGCTCTCTTGCGCCCGTATAGGCACACCCTCTCTTGCGCCCGCTTCCCACTGGTGCACCCCAGCTCTTCTGGCTCCTCCCAGGCTGCCTCTCGCCAAGCCGCAATGTGCAATTCGCAATCTGTACGCGACACGCAATCAGCTTCGTATCCCCTCTTTCCCTGTTATCTTCTTGCTTTCGCCCTCGCCGCTCGCCTGTTTCCCTGTGCAATCGCTCGCTGCGGGTCCTTCTAGTCGCGCAAGAGTTCAGCTTCTTATTTCCAGCCCCTTTCCCTCAGTCGCCGGCGTCGCACTTCAGCTGTAAAAAGTAGTAAGACCTGATAGGAATCAATATCGCGTTAGTGGAATTAGACGAGCCTATATCGAAGGTTTCACCCAGCAGGACCTGTCAACGTAATCCTGTCGTATTCCGTTACTATCATTGAGGTGCCTCTAATCTCGTTTCGTCGTATTCCGTTCTTATCCCCGTCGTTCTCCTCGTCGTCTGCCAACTCTTCCGCCATTCCCGGGGCATACGGCGCCGAAGCCGCGGCGTCACGAGTCTATCCAGTGCCGCTGAATGGCGGACGAAAAACGGTATCTGATTCTCGGCCAGTCTATGCTAGCGGTCTGATTGACGCTGCCTTGAAGCATGCCTGTTTCTCTCGCGCGCCACTGATTTGAACTACCTTTTCTAGGACGACGTTCAATATCGCGTATGGTTGAGAGTGCTTAGGTCTCGAAAGACAATGTATCAATCTATTGAAAGAACGGCAGAGCCTAGACTGCGTATGCAGCACCACTTACGTCACACGGGACTATGGTGGGAAGCTAAATTAGCAGAATAGAAACGTCGCATCGTAATAGTGCGTACCTAGCGTCACCATTCGTCAAGCTACGGACTTCGCGAACCAGACGATTTCGCGCCAAACAAAAAGCCCTTGCTACCTCTCTACTCGGCGTAACCTACTGCTTGGCCCGTGAAGTCACAACCGTCGGGTGTCGCCCTCGAGAATACCGCGCCATGCTCGAGCACAAAGCGCGTCATTCTCAAGGTGGGTGAGGGGACAGGATGGAGGGGCGAGGGGCGGGTGGGTGGGTGGTGGGCGGGAGGGGTACGAGGGAACTAGTTTGACCACTGACGGCAATCGAAGCAGCGTACACCGGGTACCGGCGCCAACGTGCTTTGATTCTTCCCGAACCAAATGCCCACGTTGACTTGCGGCGGTACGGAAACCAGCTGGACCCATGAGTTTGGTTCCAAAGCGCTTTTTGCCCAACCAGGGGTGTAGCTGAAGAGCTTTTACAAACCCAAGTGCGTGGTTTGGGGGATTCGCCCAGCCTGTACGAAAATCAGGTCTCGGCCAGGGATGGGAGGTTCGGCAATGTGTATGAGGCTTGCACCGTGTACGAAAGGCATTTCTCGTGGTTCGATCGTGCCGTCGATGGGCACGCAAACGTGTCGTCAAGTGCCCCACCAGAGCACTTGCCTCCGCCTGATAGGCTCTCGGAGCGTGACATTTACAGTAACTGGAGCCACGTCAGCCCTAACTTTGATCAAGTGCTTGCTTCCTCTGGCCTGTATCAACTGGACCAAAGCTGCCACCGAACCGTTGTGGATTGAAAGACCCGTTAATGTATGTACACCAGATGTTCTACAATTTGGCAACTAGCTCAATGTTCCCAAGTTTCCAAGGAAACACTCTTTTCAGAACTATTAAGCCAACTCAACCTATAAGATGGCACAGAAACAGTGGTGCATCTATAATGTTTGAACAACCACTAATCTCCAACCTCTCTATCTCACAAAGAAGAGCCAAGGATGGAGGTAGCCTTGTCAACCGGTCACAGCCCGTCAGCTCAAACGACTTCAGATTTGACATCAGGCCAACGCCTTCAGGAAGTTCCGAGAAATTCCTGCAGCAAGTGACCGTGAAATGCGTTAAAGATGAAAGTTGAGTGAAGGAAGATGGGATGTGTCGAAACTCAGGGCACCAACTGATGGACAGCTCTTGGAGGTTGGGCAGCAGAGAGAATTCTTCAGGCAGGGCAGAGAAAAGTTCACAATTGATGAGCTTGAGGCTTTCAAGAGATGATAGCTGGGAGAGTGTGTGAGGAAGAGTGGTAAGTCTGTTGCAGGCAAGCAGCTTCAAGGTCCGGAGATTTTTCAACTGCCCGATCGAATCGGGCAACTGCGACAGCTGGTACGTGTTGCAAAGCTCCAGCTTTTCCAAAGCCAGCAAATCCCCGAAATCTTCGGGCAGCCTGAAAAGGTTTCGGCACCCTGTGATCACGAGGTCGGTCAGGCGGTCCAGCTTTGGGAGGGAAACGGGCAGCTCTGTAAGATTTTCGCAGTTGTGAATCTCAAGGCTCCACAGGTTGGGAAGAAAGCCAATGTCGTCTGGAAGAGTGAGAAAGCATTCGCTTATCTCAAGACCCTCTAACGAGGATAGACGGCTCATGGAGGAAGGGAGGTAGTGGAGGGAGTGGCAGGAGCAGAGGACCATGTTCCAAAGTTTTGGCAGCTGCCCGAGGGATTCTGGGAGGCTTGTGAGGCAAGGAAGAGCGAGCTCGAGCGTCTTGAGGGATTGCAGCTGACCGAAGTTATCAGGCAGAGATGTCAAGCTGTAGCAGGTGGTGGCACTGAAGTGAACGAGGCTGGAGAGCTCCCCGAAGGATTCGGGCAGGGCAGGCAACGAATTGCACTCCACCAGCTCTAAAACGCTGAGATTTTTCAGTCTGCCCAGGCTTTCGGGTAGAGCCCTGAGGTGAGGGGCCTGGAGGTGTAGGACTCGTAAAGCGGGCAGCTGCGAGATTTCTTCGGGCAGGCTGCGAAGGTCATCCAATGAGATGTCGAGGAACTCCAGTTGTGTCAGACACGTTAAGGACGGAGGGAGGAATTTGACGCTAGGTATAGTGTGAAGTCCGAGCCTCTCTAATCGCGTACAGGCTTGGAAGAATCCGTCCAAACCTATTTCCGTGACTCCTCCAGCTGACGACACACGCCTGGTAGCCGTTAGCGAGAATCGCTTGAGGTTCGGCAATGCCGAGCCTAAGCCAGAGATAATCTGATCGTTGACCACGTCAAGGCTGCGATTCGCTAGCTGCAGGGACGTTAGGTTCGGCATGGCTGACAATGCGCGGAGCAGCGACGCGCTCGAGATCTCCCTGCGACTGGCGACGCGAATGTTGGTTTGAGCGACTCGTGCGACGCGGAGCCATCGCTTGCAGACGAGGGCGTGGCGAAACGAAAAAAGGTCCGGGCCGAGCCGCGAGAGGAGGTGCGAAAGAAGGTCGTCGGAAAGATCGTCGAACGGACAAGCTGTTGGCTCCATAAGGGAGAAAGAGCGGATGATCGGCTCGTTGCTAATTTCAATTCCTGATGAAATCTGTAATTTCAAGTTGGAAAATGGATCTGAAGGAGAAGCTGATGAGGGGTCGAAGACGAACGGGTTAGAGCAAGGTGGACGAACATTGACAAAAGGCTCACGTTGATGTTCGCTCCGACACTTTCTCTGCAAATGCGGTAACCAAAACCGTGACAAATTGATTTCGCACCCGTCCTTGCCCCCCAGATTCACCTCCACGCACCTTTCCACACACCAATCACTCTCATCCCCAACAAACAGTAGCTATGATAATTGAACCCGTCATAAGTAACTAGTGTTATAGAACTTATCTAGCATTCTTTATGCAAGTTGCCTTGCAGTCAACCATGATGAAACTCCAAAATCGCGACCCATCTACCTACCGGCCATTGTTGCGCCACATACCTGGCAAACTCTTGGAATATCGACATGTATTTATCAACACTAGCAGATGATACTGCAACAGAATTGCTACCTGGTGCTAGCTGCACCATTTATACAAGCAGGGGCACTACTACAACCCCCTAACTGCAACACACAGGAGGGAGGGGAGGATTAGGGGTGTGGGAAGGGAAAAAACCAGTGGGCTTATTGCAATAGAGGTATACCGGAGCAAAAGCCATACGGCGCCACCTGCAACCTATGATCGCCTCAATGGGTACACCAGACCAGAGCGGGAAGCAGGATCATGCTGAGTGTCATAGGAGAAGGCAGGTCAGATGGAAGGGCAGGAGGGGACTCGGCGGGAGTGAGGAGATTGTGAGTCGAAAGCAGATGGTGTGTGGTTGAAACGGGCTGACCTGCTGCCACGAATCTCAGCTCTTGACACAGGTCTGGGTTGATGCTGCTGCTGATTCTGATGATGTTGCTGCCGATGCTGATGATGCTGTTGATGAGAGTGCCGCTGACAGTGAGTCTGTTGCTCTTGACTGTTGGCACAACGATGGTGCTCCTGCTGCTGCGGATGATAAAGCTGCTGCCACTGCTGCTGCGGATTCTGCTGCTGCTGCTGCTGCTTGTGCAGAGGCAGAGGCGTGTAGGAAACAGCATCAGAGAAGCTTCGTCTCCTTGAACAGGGGCCGGCACCCAAGATGTTTCTCGGAAGCCTCTCTGCTGTACCAGAGAAGCTTCGCCTCCTTGGCGGGATGGAATGACCGTTGGAGGTGTAAGAGGGAGTTGAGTCCAGAGACGGGGTTGAGCCGAGGGGATACAAGCCACGGGAGGGAGTGGAAGAAAAGGACGGGGTTGAGGCGAGAGAGCGGGTGGAAGTGAATGAAGGAGTCAGGTGGAACGAATTGGACCTTCTGGGTTCATTATAATATGCCAGATCTGCCATCCAGGAGCGCGCATGCGGTGTGCACTGCCCCGCTCCAGTGGAGCCCCCATCGTCGCTGGAATTCTCGTCGGCAAAATCCGCCTCAGTCGGCCCCCCA